AGATTGGGTAATCGATGGACTACTCGTGTACATACAACTTGTGTAACTCATTTGTCCTCCACAGTTATAAGGCCCACCTGCTACAATTCCAGCACCTTTTATTGAAGCTGAAAATGCGACTTGTATTTGTGTAGCAAAGTATGCGCCAGATGATATACCCGAAACTGATGTTTCACTTGGATCCACATTATATGATGATAATTTCTAGAGAGAATGTAGTAGTTTTTTTAGAAATAGAATGAATAATTTAGAACAAATGAATTTCTAACTGAGAAATTCTTTTTATTTTAACTCTTAAATTTAGATGTTTATCAATTTGATACTGATCAAAAATATTTAGAACAAATTAATTATGTCGTATTCTAGAAAAATGTTTTCAGATCTAAGAGTTAAGTTCAATAGTTTCAGAATATGTAGACAAATCCTTACCTCAGCTGCGTAACAACAGCTAATCAAAAAGAAAATGAATGATATTGACATCATATTCTTTGCTGGTACCAAACTTGTGTTTACAAGTTCTGATCAGTTCAATGAATTGTTTTATTACACGAAATAGCAAGAGTCGTTGTAATTAATAAGAAAATCTAAAATGGGTATGAATAGAAGCTGATATAATTCAGATGCAATCGATAGAACATATACCCTATGGATAGATAGACGAAAAAATTGGAATAGCAAATGGGTCTAGGCACAATTGTTGGTGTGGGTCTGTATCTGGGTGTTTGTAAGTATGATTATAAGTGTTTCTTCTTTGTCCACACCTACACTGCACCTACATCAACACCAATAATCTCAAACAGTAGAGTTTCTTTATCAACATTTATATTATCGACATTTTTAAGATGTTTTCACTTTTGACATTTTTACTACTGACAGTATTCAAGTGATTTACTAGCACACCCCAGCTCTCTCCTTCATCAAGACAAATGAATATAGATCTACAATCTCGCATACCCGACGGTATCGAATGTCTGAAAATGAGTCTTTTTGAATCACATCATTCGATATTTCTTACATTGTTTTCAAGATGTAGTGTTACTCATTCTCTTAGTATGCTATAATAAAGCCATCAAGCTCTTGGTATTTTCTATAAACCTTTTGGAAATTGATCGTTTTTTTTTTTATATTAACATTTTAGTATTTTTATCATCGATTAAGTCTTGGATAATTCGAAATTTGATTCTGAAAGAGTTTTTTTTTTAATTGAAGAGAAGAAAACAAGTGAATTTGTTCCACTTGAGAGAAATTAATACTTACAATGATAATAGCAACTATTGTAATCGTTTAGAAAGGGCTATTGTATCGCAAAAAATAATCTTTTATAGCTATCAAGTATGCTGTTTTGTTGGTTTCTTTCAAGTGTATAAATACTGTTTATTGTTTTCTCATAAATAATTACGAAATAAAGTATACGACTTGTATCAAATAACGCACCAAACTATTATTACGTGTCAAAAATGATCGTAAATCTTTATAAAACAGATTCGAAGCTTTGTTATCAATAATTTATAATACCATAATATGCAATACAACGAAATATTTCATGCTCTATTTCGAAGTAAAAGAAGATACACGTTTTAATTCACCCAAACAGTGCATCACTGGGTAATGTTGGAAATGTAATGCAACATCTTTAATGTCTTAAAACGTTACTAGCACTTTGATAAACAAAAAGTAGTAATATATTATCTGGTACTTTAGATTATGAACTTTGGCCGGCTGCGGACGAAGTTCTTCTATTTATCGGCACTCACACTCACACTCGCGCTAATTTAGATTGCAGTCATATGAGAAGGAGATAGATTGAAAATGCTATATACGACAAAATTTTCGTTTCTTAACAAAATAAAGTGCACTATATTTCAATATGTGTGCAAGAGGTCTTCTACATGCTGAACTTGCTCTGATATTTGACAGATTTGAATCAAGAAAAGACTTGATTTAGTCCGAAGCAAAGAAACTAATTGACCACATTCGGGCTGCATCTTGTTTTAAAGCAAAATGTGAGGAAATAACTAATAATATATCATGTTTTTTTCGTTCGACCAGACATAGCAAGTCTATTTTCTTGCACTTCAGAAAAGATCGCGCTTTCCAAATAATGAGAAACACAATATAACAGCAAGATATGAAGCATGTTGTGGATATTGGTGATCTTGGGCATTCTCTTCGAAGCCAAAACCTGTGGTTTTCTTTTTGCTTTGCTGTTTATCAGAGAAGTATGTGATCAAATAGTGTCCCTATTGCCTTTTTTTCTGGTATAGAAGTCACCGATGTTGAATTACTATGAAGCTGAACTGTGTATCATTAAGATCGAATACTAGTTGCTCGCACCGAGAGGTGTTGTCTCCTTGACTATTTCTTCTCGTTGATGTACAGAAAAGTGCAAGAAATGCATATATCTGACGATTCTTGATACTCATGTACTCTTTAGAGAACTTTTCGTTTCGACACATCTCAATAGTGGCTGCAATGTATGCAGCAATCGAAGTGAGACTGTGTTTTAACTAGTCAATTATCTTAGCAGTGTTGATCAGGACATTGATCATTGTCTCAATCTACCTTGATATCTTCTTTTTGAGAGAACCTTTCGTTTCATATGGGCCTATTTTCTACATCTATTAGAAAACGAGCAAAAATCGACTTGATATGCATTATAGAAGACTTATTTCTTTGCAGATCATAAGGATTCGTATTGTTAATAATCCTCATACACTTCATGTTTTCACCTTTATTGGTCGATTCTGATAAATGAGTCCTCATTGGTTAAGTCCAAGAATTGAACTCTTGACTAGACATGCAACTGCATCTGTGAAACTATCATTTAATCCATTCTGAATTAGTCTTGCCAGTCTCAGGGTTGCCTTTGTTCGAAATAATTTTTTGGATTGCCGACATGACAATGCGGCACTGCTTATGTGCTCTTAATAGTCTGTTTCATCATTCGCCTAGATTATTTTCTTTTAACTTTTGTAGTGTCATGGCTTATATTCAGCATGATCTATAATGTAATATGGATTAGAGACAAGGGTGTGCGTGTGGGTGTGGGATGTGGGTGTGGGTGGGTGTGGGTGTGGGTGTGGGTGTGGTGGGTGGGTGGGTGTGGGTGTGGGTGTGTGGTTGTGGAGTTTGGGTGTGGGTGGGTGGGTGGGTGTTGCTTACTATCTACTCTCTGTAATAACACGCATGCCCACATCCACACCCTCTTTTTCCGATACTCCGCACATTTTCGGACATAAATAGAAAAGAATGTTTCACCAACCGAATGAGTGCGCCCTCTATTTCTCTCTCGTCCTAGTTGGATCAAAACAAAAACTAATCAAACTTTTCGTCGGACCTAAAGATGAGGAATTATCTGTACTGGACGAATCACGACGATTTTAATTAGATGATTATGTAATAAAGTACTAATTAGCAATCTTCTGGGTTAGTTAGTATTCAACCGAAGTTAAAGGGGTGTCCGCCAGATAGAGCTCATCGAGATCTATCTGAAGATGTATGTCTCGTTGTTGGAGTGCACTCCTAGGCGAATCGTGACGACTTTAATTATGAAATAGATTAATTGAGTACTAATTAGCAATTTTCTGGGGCACTGACTGTTCGAGCGAAGTTAAATAGGTGTGCACTAGATTGAGTTCGTCGAAATCTATCTGGAGATGTGTGTCTTGTTGTTGGAGTGCTACCTGGGCGAATCGCGACAGGTTTTCTTGAATTTTCCTGTTTTCTTAGGCATTTTTTGCGGTATTTTCGGTTTTTTAGGGAAGGGAGTGGTTTTCCCGAGGAAGGAACATATGGATCTGATAGAGCTCGTCGAGTTCTACTTGGAATGCTGCTGACCTGAGTTGGAGTGCACTTCAGTGCGAATCCATTCAGGAAAATATCGAGTCCTGACCTAAGATATCCTACGTATGTGAAAATGAATTGGCGCTGTTCGATCGATTGCTATGATTTCAACAAAAACTGCAGAAAACATGATCGAGCAGAAAAAAACGTGTGGGTATCGATGTAATAATATTCAAGCCAGCACCTTCACTGGAACTGTACTCATGTCTAGTAGTTGAAGAAAGGGATCTTGAAAAAAATTGATGATGGAAAGGTGAAGTAGGAATAGAATTGGAACTAGAAAAACTAATTGACGATGATGATGCTGTCGTTATTGGTGAACGAGGAGAATAAGATTAGAACAGTTTTCTGAATATAAAGAAATATTTTTCAAAGTATCAGCAGATTTGTCTTTTTTCCTTGTTTTGCTTCGTATGTCTGTTGTTCACTGCAGAAATGTTTTATGCCAGCCATGGAAGAATTCAGGACTTCTGAGGAAAAACCTAGTGAGACATGCAACACGTTGAAAAATTTTGTATTTTATTTAGAATTCGATCCATGAGCATCCATCTCGACAGTGAATTAGTCAGATTCGGCACAATGAGACATCTGGTGTGAATAAGGAGGGTGAGCGTCAATGTATTCTTCATCTAAACTCACACTGATGTCTGTATACAAGCAAACAAACACAAAAACCACCTGTACGAATTCGGATAAAGGCGTATCATCGACATCGTAACTATGCCATTACAGCATTAGACCTCTTCAATCGTTTGTTTTTGATAGCAGCAAGACGAAATGAGTATTCATTGTACAGTCAGAACTATATAAAGTTGATTAACTAATCATTCAAAATATTTTCTTGTCTTTTTTTCAATACAATAAACATTCGATTCGGAATATGCTATTTGGTTTATTTTTTGAGTGAAACTATTCAGAAATATCCAGCTTAGTCTTTGACATTCTTACTGTTGACATTGAGATTTGTACTTTTTCGTTTTTTTTTTACATTATTCTCGCAACATTTTTACTTTCAATTAAAATGCATAGAATCACATTTTACACGGAATAACGTTTATTTTCAATATTCTGACATTAACCATCATATATTATTTATGTGTTAAAAGTTTTCGAAATGATTTATTTCAAACAATAAAACAGGTTTTCATCTATATTCTTTATTTTAGTTCGCTCAGTTTGACAAGAATATTGACAACAGGCCCACCTTGATAATCTTTAAATGGCTGTGATAAACCATCATCTTTCTTTTTCCATAGCCAAGTTGCTGGATCAACAATTGTCATTTCTTTTCCATTCATGTTTTTAACGTAGATATGACGTGTTGCTGGATGACATGTTTGTATAAATGCATATTGAAAGCCTTTTGTATCTCGTGCATAATTACATAGATGAGTACGTAATCGAGCTGCTAAATTTTTATCTAAGTGCTTAAATCGGGTTGCACCAGCTATAATAAATAAAACCATATTCGGTTTTAATTCTTGAGTAAAATCATGTTACACAAATTGATCACGCATTTCTGCAAATAAGTCTTTCATCGGATTATGAGATGCAGGACTAGACGCATCATGTGGATGTTTTTCGTAATGTAAAAATAGGTCATTGGCAATGATTGTTGCAACGATTTCATTCGTGGAACGATGTCGTACGAGAAATGATAATTTTTCATTAAGTACATCCATCATCAATGGCCAAATCCGTTCGTCAAATAATTGCATGGATGTGATCTGATTAAAAACCATCAAAGGATTGTATGAAGCAAATTCTTCCGCAAGTAGTTTCGCACATAAACGAGCATCTGTTTCATTTTCGATTTGGAGCAATTTCATATTTATTCTTATCAGCCATGCACCACAAGTAAAAATAAAATAGATGTAAAAGAGACGTAAATGCGTTTATTTATATATCTTATCAATTTTTTTCTCGTTCTGTTGATGATTTTCATTCCTGCACGAGCAACTACTCACTGTTAAAAGAATTTCTGTTGAAAATATAGCATGAAGCGACCACTTGCCAACAACATCAATTTGATTGATGAAAATGAACAGTTCAATAGATATGTGTAAATATTTTTAAATTTAAAAAAGATCAATAAAAAAGAAAAAGAAAATGTACAAATTTGACTTTTACAAGAATAATGATTCAATCAAAATGTTTTTATTTTATCAGCTTTTTATGATGTAAAATTTTGATGATGTGGGTGTGGGTGCGAGTGTACATTTAGTCTTCAGTCCAACCTCATTCACATACCAACACTCAATTTTTAGCATATAGAATGGGAAAAGGATTTTATCAGTAGTCAATCAAGATGCTTCTTTTTTAAATATATCTGCTTGTTCTATGCATCATAGGAAAAGAATGAATGTTTTAATAGATACAATATTGCCTTTGTTGAACGTGTCAATAGTTTGATGACATACAATATATGTGTTTAAACGAGAAAATCATGCATAAGTAAAATAATATCGTATTCTAATAGATAGTTTCATTTAGATTTTGTTATTGTTGTACATGTTACTTATATGGAAGGTGTGATCATTGCTACATCATCAATATTACGTGTACAATACTAATGATCATAATCAGAAAGATGGATACTATCTTTTATACTACGTGCTCGATAATATTATCGATTACGAGAAACCTTATATATACGGCCGGGAAAAATTAGTGAGAGTCTGTATTTTGAATATATTTCTACTATGAAAACATATTTTTTTTAAAAGGTAATTACATATTCTGAAAGCTCGTGGAGTTTTCTATCGCTCTGTATAATTAGGTTTTAGTTGAGACCTATTCATTACCAAAATAAATTGAGTGAAACTAAGGCATCCTCATATGGAGATTCTCATAGATTTGATTTTGTCCTTTTATCAAAATTATCTAGTATTATAAATTCTTTATCACTATAGTATTGTCTTTAAAAAAAAACAGTAACCACAGACTCTGATAGAGCTTGAAATTCTCTATCACTCTATATACTCTTGCCTTGCCTTACACTTATGTGATGAATGTGCTGAAGAATAATTCGTGTTACAGTTTTATCGATTGGTGAAAGAGATTTCTTTTCTCCTTTCAAGATGAGTGCGAGTGTGAGTGTTAGTTAATCATCTTTATTTACACCAACACCCACACCCCTCTTCTTATATGAAAATAAGGATTTATCTGATATAAGATCATTTAAATAGTTTGTGTTAGGATATTCTAGATTATTATATTGTTGATAACTTGGAGGTGTATATAATATTGATGAATCGAAAATAATTGGATAAGATTGATCTAGAAGGATACATTAGCAATATTGAAAAACATGATGTTCTGTACATAGAGTTGGTCTTCGTAAGACATGCAATATTTTTTATTGATAATACTTTGTCATTTTATAATTTATGTTTTCGTTTTCGAATACCATTCTTTTTTTAATGTTAAGGTTCGATTAACCTATTGAAAATTATTATTCATACAATATATTTAAATTATTATGTTAATAAAAGCATTCAATGTAATGTTAACTTCAACAGATGTCACTCATTGACACGAGACTTAATCATCTATTATCAGTTTTGTTTAATCCTCTTTAATTTTTTCACTGTTTTCTATGTTATGAATGATTCTCGTGATTCAGCCGTCTAAAAAATGCCATTCATCTTCGAAAACAGTTCATCCGTCGAAAAGTCTAGTATTTAGAGATAAGTTAAATATTAGAAGCATCTTATTGGTTAGATGCTTCGGTGTGCTCTAGATACTGAAGTGTCTTATTTTTTATAGCACTTTGACCTAATAGCTATTGATGCGTCTTGTTTGCTATCGTAATTGGATATGTAACCATTGAGATATAAACATAGAACGAATGTTAACGTACTCAAAATGTGTTTCATGAGCAATGTTTCTAAATAATATTTTTTTAAATAATTGAGTAAATCTGGTCGCTTAAGATAATTCTTTTATTCATTATTCTTTTCCTAAAATTACTTGATTTTCTTGAGATACATATGTACGTCATCTTGTTTTTTTAGCTTCAATTGATTGAATAGTAAATTTTATTTTATGTTCAAGATTCTTTTTGTGCATCGTCTACTTTGTTTTAAAATATTTCTAACTGAATCCAATAAGTTAATGTTTACTGCTTTCAAATTATATTGTTTTACTTTAGATTATTTTCTTGACGTTTATTTCTTTACATTTATCATTAGAATTTTCATTGACAATTGAATTTAGTATAGCAAACAAAGTTATTTTTGAAAAGCATGTTATTAGATGTGAACTATTATCACAATTTATATTTGCTTATTATATAATTAAAATATGTAATTATCAAGAAGAGGTAAGTAAAACTTGTTCTCTAATTAATTTTTTTTTACTGTTAACTCTTTTTTCGTGTTATAACTTCCAATCCTAGTAATTCTCGTATCCTATAACTGCTGCAATATTTTCAAATATTATTGAAATCTAAGATAAAATAAGTAGAAGATGACTATTTTCTAATCGTGTTATTTTACAATACTCCTACGAGCAGCAACAATACTTAATCTTATTATTTATTACAATGTGTTCATTCAACATGTAATGATTGAGAAGTTAATGGTATAATTAAAACTTAAAGTATTACAGGAAATTATTGCAAGTTATTTAGTAAGTCTTTTAGAAATTGGAAGTATTCCATTTTTTTGTGAAATTAATTTTGAAAAACTTTAGAGTTTTACACGAATAAAAAACAAATATTTTGTTTATTTTGTTCTAGATTATATTAATATCACGAACATTTATCCACTGCTAACTATTTAAACAACTTTGATCTTTTAACTAATCTACCAGCTACTAGTTCTAGAAATAATTCCATTTCTATATGAATAGTGCGTATTCAGAAAATATATTTTTGATAAAATTATTTCATACTTATTCTTATCAATTTTAATTCTTGTCAAATTTAGCTTAACATTTAAAAATATAAAATTATTTTATCAAAAATATTTTCTTAATACGTACTATTCATATCGCAATACAATTATTTCTAGAATTAATAGCTCGTAGATCAGCTGAAGCGTCTAAGTTAGCAATAAATGTGCCAATCAGAATTAGGTCACAGTGTTTTGTATAAGCGAACAAACTGTATTGTTTATACACTTCATATATCTTGATTTTTTTAGAGTGTAGTCTTTACTTTTTTCATCACTAAGATTGGTACATATTGCCATATTATTTTTTCATACAAAAAATAACAAATCATGCAAGTCGTTGAAAAAAAACAAGAAATGTCACTGGTACAACCAAAGCAAGCTCGATTGAACGTGGAAGATTATCATCAAGAGGCGAAAATGATATTGCCAAAAATGATCTATGATTTCTATAGTACTGGTTCAGATGATCATTTAACATTAATTGATAATCAACAAGCTTTTCGTCGAATAAAATTACGTCCAAAAGTACTCATTGATGTATCGTCTCATTCAGCAGTCAATTCAATCAATTGTCAAACACAACTTTTAAATGCTACGGCAACAATTTCATTTCCATGTATTATTGCTCCAACAGCTTTACATCGACTAGCAAATAATGAATATGGAGAATTAGCAACTGTTCGTGCAGCTGTTGCTTGTTCGACAATAATGTGTGTCAGTACTATGGCATCAACACACATGAAACGAATTGCTGAAGAGCATCGAGAGCAAATTAAAAAAAATTATTCTCAAAGTACTTCACAGCTTTGGTACCAGTTATATGTATTCAAAAATCGTCAATATACACAGAGACTAATCGAACATGCTGAAAAATATGGCTATAAAGCTTTAGTTATTACTGTTGATCATTGTGAAGTAGGCAATAGAGAATGTGATGTGCATAATCAATTTTCATTACCTGAAGGTATTCAAGCAGAAAATCTAATTGATGATAAAAGTAATGATTTTGCGAAAACTTATCGGCAATCACCTATTGATGCGTCATTATCGTGGCAAGATCTTAAATGGATACAGTCGATCACGTCATTACCCCTCATTCTCAAAGGTATTATACATCCAGATGATGCTCGTGAAGCTGTTAAACATGGTGTACAAGGAATTATTGTTTCGAATCATGGTGGTCGACAATTGGATACATGTCAGAGTACTGTTGATGCTTTACCAGACATTATGGATGCTATTCGTAGTGAACATCATCAAATTGATGTTTATATTGATGGTGGTATACGACGGGGAACAGATATTTTGAAAGCTGTGGCATTGGGTGCAAAAGCAGTACTTATTGGACGACCAGTGTTATGGGGTTTGGCAGTAGATGGAATGCAAGGTGTACAAAATGTGTTAAATATATTGAAAAAAGAATTTCGATTGGCTATGATGTTATGTGGATGTCAAACTGTTGACGATATCAGACAAAACAATCTTTTAGTCATGAATAATAATAACACTCGATCGAAATTGTAAAATGGCAAAATTACTATTTATTATGATGACTGAAGTGATTGAACATCATCCTTTTGAGTGGTTTTTTTTCTGTTACTTTACTAAAGAATGTCAAGCACTCAATGTCTAGTTAGCATTCTACCAAGATAAATTTAAATCATAAATATTTGATGAAGTTTGTGTCAGAGACCAACACGAATGAGAAAATCTCGACTCGGACTCGACTCTAATTCAGTAACAGCTAACTCACACTATTTCAAGAAATATGTTTCGCCTTTTTCCAAAGAATGTCTTTTTTTATGTTATTCGGCGCATCTACATAAACTAAAACAAATATAACTTAAGCAATGTTAGAATGAATGTTTATGCTACCATATTGTAAATGAAGTGAACTTTTAATTTGATCCGATGAGTAGTCTATCATATAGATACGCGCCACAGCCTCAAATTGTTAGCTTATCAATAAAAATTGTATATTGAGTTTTATTCAATATAATTTACGAAAAATTAACTCAGCTTTGATTCATTTTCAAATTCTAGAATGAATTTAATTAATCAAGTAGTCATCATAACAAATATGAAAAAATAAAAATCAGCTAAGATTTTAAAAACATTTTCTCAGGTTGTACTATCCCATATCTTAGAATGTGAATATCGTACTCTGATATTCACATGTTTATAAGTCATTTTATTCTAAATATAATATCATTCGCCATAAGCATCAATTGTTAAACTCGTCTTCTTCATCAATATTTAGAACATGTAAATTAAAACCTACAAATTTTTTTTTAAATAAATGTTTTTCAATCGTAGAAAACACTATCATGATCGTATGAAACAAATTACTTCGAATGAATTTATTTTCTATAATTGCTCCTTCATTTGAATGTTTGTTACGAAAAATTCTTAATATAACTGATTGATCTCTGTATTTAAAAGTTTCATCAAACTTTCATGAATTAATTCCTTTTCTTTCGAATGATAGAACTTATGCGCACACTTTATTAGAGAAAAATGACTGCAATCCTGTTTAAACGAATAAAGTCAATAGATCATGATTAGTGATAGTGATGGGTTCCCTTGACACGTTTATGACTAACAACGATGTTTGATTCCTTATTCATGCTCTTGCCAAGCCACAAGTATACTGCACTCACTATTTCACTACACGCGTATAATGAGTCCCACTCTAGCTCATATAAAGAATCTCTTTTCATGCGTGTAAGCCATTGAATGATCGTATCCACAAAATTCTCTCCATCGTATAAGGATCGAGATATGGCACTTGATAAATGTTGGACTCGCTCCAGTATCATCATGGCGTCTTTCGCATACGTGATTTCAGTATCAAGATGCTTTATATGACGAAGTAATTTCAAACAGATAGTATTGAGAGTTATCAACTTTATTTTTTCGAAATCATTACAACTTATTTTTTATTGAACGAAGATGCCATGCTCGTTTGAATAGAGTATCAATGTCGATATTCAGGCTCGTATCGAACATACACTCACATTGGAAATATAAGTGTTGTGTTTGAAGATTCGATAGATTAAGAGTTGTTGAAAGATGTTCAGTTGAGCCATTAGATCGTTTTTGATCAATCTTTAGTGCAAGGTCTGTCACATTTCGAAATAGATAATCCTTTTTTGGATTTATCTAAAAACAAAAATATGTAATCGTTAAAGAAATTGAAATACGAAGTATAAACTTATTCTAATTTTTAAAAAAATCATGAAAACAAGAAAGATCGTTTTTTTATGAAATTAAAATGTCTTTTAGAAGAAACTCGTATTTAAATGAAACAAATTTGCTTAGAACATAGTCTATATTGACAATGAAAATTAAAAAACTTTGTCCTCAACTCTATATTCTAGTGCCATTTTTCAAATATTTTACAAGTAAAAAACATCTTCGTGATAAGTTAGAGAATGAGAAAAGAAAAATTATTTTTGATACTTCCATAGGAAAAGATTTCCTTTCTGACTCTCATGATAAAATACATTATATACATCAAAGTCAGATGTATGCTTTTGTACTAAAATTTATTGTGAGAGTTTATAATATTTATTTGAAATAAATTTGTAAATACAAGAGTTTATAACTATTTATTAAAGAATAAATAATTAGCAATATTGAAAATTGAATGTTTTTGGTTAATTGTGTTTTTCTCAAACTCATTTTTTTCTTCAAAACATACTGAATTAGTTTCATTTTCTCCAACGTATTAAGATCGATGGAATATAGTTTTGTTTATTTCTTACTTTACTAGAATTTAATTAAAATTAATGATTATTATTAGATTAAATTTTTATGTGGCTATGCACTGTTTTTGTTGAGTAGACTTTGATAGTCTTTCAAAAAATAGAACCTTTCTCATTTGAGTACATCTTATAAAACACGACGTAATAAAGAAACTTATCAATTTTATAATCCTGTCGTACATTTGCTATGTTATCAGAATTGAACGAATAAATGAAACCAAACATAACTCTACTCTAAAAACAAGGTACTTAGTTTATGTGTACATAGATTCCCTTTGGAACGTATATTTTGCCTACTAGTGAAAGACTATTGAATCGTAGCAACCTTTCAAATGTTCATAATTTTGTTATGTTTTGATCGAGATATTGAATTATGCATGAATCTTCTATGAAGAATCACTCTATTCAACAAAATCGTATTTTTTTAGTTTCCTTTTGACCTGCAATTTTTTGCGCATACAGATTACAATCAGAAACATTAATGGACTGAATTCCAGAATTTTCTGATAGAGAGAGACTGCGGCAACGAAAAATTTCTGAAATTCGATATGATGGAAATCTCTATGTGAGCAAAGTTTTAGAGAAAAAAAATTCAAAAGGTACAATTCTATTGAAAAGTTAAATCCTTCATAGAAATCACTTAATGAACCATCCACAGCAAGTATTTTGCTTTTGAATGAGAGTTGACAAATTTTCTGCATGAAATTTCGTGAGAAACGTCAGCAACAATGCTTTTAACAACAATTACAGTCTTATAAAATCAATTGGCACGAAAATATCTATCAGCTTTCTTCCAGAAGAATTATTTGTTCGAAAAGAGATAACCGGTTTGAATATATCTAATATAATGCTTACTTGTTGTCGAATACCTTCAGTCATCATTTGACTCAAGTTTAAGGATAATCGATGCGCATTGACGATAATCATTGTATTTCGTTGATCAGAATAATTAAAGTTATCTTGCAAGATTGGTATCGAATATAGATGAAATTTCCAATTATATTCGTTGTACTCGTAATCACATTTAATAAGCCAATGTTTGATTTTGAGCTAGAATGGTGTTTGAAATGGTGCATTCAGTAATGCTATAGTAAGTACCATTTGAATTATAGAATTTATCACTAGTGAACCAGTATTCAAACTTATTCAATAAAGGTAATTTCATTTCAATGAAATTTTCCCATCAAGAACCATCGAATAAGAAAGAATCAGTTAAAGATGTCTGGCAAGTTAGTCGAAGATACTTTAACTTAGGTAAAAGTGAAAGCAGTGATTCAACACTGTTCATTGTTATTTTAGAACTGCTGTTTAATGAGAGTGAATTTAAATAAATGGACTGTATAAAAACAGTCTCATCGAATCGACTCTTATAAACATCTTTCAGTATCAATGTTCATGATCGAGGTAAGTCACCAAGGATCAAGTAAACTGTATACCAACTACACTCACAACAAATTATCAAGTGCTTCAATCCACATGGAATGGGCCATTGTATTTCATCAAGAATCCAACTGTTTGCTTTAAATTCGAGTTTTCGAAGATTATTGTGCAATACAATAGATAATAACAACGAGCTCATATTGTGGATATAATGGTGGCGAGCTGATATTGAGAATGTTGTGAGAGGATATTCCATGATTTGTTTTTGAAATTTATCCATATCTGCATCTTGTATGTTAAATAGAGTCAATGATCGTAGTCGAATGAATTGGTCAATGTGAAAATGAGAAAGAAATAATCGAATTTGACCAGGTGTCTGCATTTTATTCGAAAGCGTAAGTCAAATAACATTTTTAGGATCAATAATACGTGCTAAGAGAGGTAGATCATATTTTGAGGTAAAATGCCAGCCTAACTCATAACGATTATAGGCTTCAACAATAGAGTAAAGCCGTATAGACACACAGAGAATTGACAATACAATCGTTTCCACATCGAGATCATCGAAAATTCGATGAACAATCTCGATAAGTAATGTTTGAAAATAAGATTTCTTTCTAGTAGACATGAGTCGCACTATGCAGAATTCACAAGTGTAATATGTTTTTCTTCCGACTATACGTTATGATTATACGTCTACATCGAGTGGGAATGTTGAGTGGTGTGTCATAAATGACTGTATAGGATGGAAAAAAACAAGTGTTTGCATACTGATCGGCTGAAACATTGAAAAAGAAATATAATAATCATTCGTCCACTCATCTTCCGAATGTTTCAAAATGAAAATGCCATTACCAACGTTGGAAATTATGATGAAATCAATATAAACGTTTTTCAAAGACACCACGATGTGGTTATAATCGTGTTCATTGTTTTCCATAGCCGAAGCAACTTTCAAGAAAGCGCCTGTTATCGAATCCTTCAAAAGATCTACTCTACATTGATAAGACTCAGCAGTGTATATATTATTCGATAATATTTTCGTGAAGGATCAAATGAATTCTATAATCAAAGAAAAAATATGATTGTTAAAAAAAGAATATTTGATATGTCATGAATCATCCGACAGAAGTAGTTCATGAACGAACTGAACATGAAATTATCCAATTACTTTAGTCTGCTATGCTCTCTTGAGCTATTGCCGACCCATTTGTAGATAAAAAGTAATCGTTAAAAAAGATTTCGTGTTGCGTTAGAATTCCTTGATAAGTTCATTGCAGTAATGAAACAAGGATCAAACAGTGCACCAAAATTAAATAGAAACAACAACAAAAAACAGACAAAGAACAACTTTTAGCATCAATCTGTACTTTATTCAGTCCTTTGATAAAAAGCCAACCAAAAAAATTAATAGAAAAGTTGTTAGTACAATCTTTACGGGATAAATGTGTGAAAACCGATATAGCTATTATTCCTAATTATAGGGAGTTTGTTTTATTTTATGTATGTCGGATGCACAATTCCTATCACTATACATTTCAACAGTCCTTTCAGATCGTGTTTCACAAAAATATTAGATAAAGAATAATATAAGACCTTAATCGGATTTATAATTTTAGTGGCCATGACTATCAAGAATCGTAAGAAACAGACGATTCAAAACTTGCAAAGAGGAAACCTGCAGAAGTATAAATTGTAAGTATGCGAAACTCTTCGTTCTATGTAAGTACAATATGGTTAAAGTTTGCGTCGTGGCACATTCATACATCTTTATTGCTTATCAAACAACTGTTGGAATCTGCACAATTTTCATCTATTAAAACGATAGTCACAAAGTGATGTTTTTATTTATAGAGCAGAGAATAACGATGACAAAAAGTATTTTAAGAAAGAAAAAATCAATATCATGGTGCACTGCATATCACGCATACTCATTGGTAAAAAAATATGCCGTCATCAAAAGATGAATCATTGTGATATAATTAGATTAAATGAATCAACATATATTCTATCAATTATTGTAAGACATAGTTTTACTAGAAATGAAATTTAAATACTTAAAGATTATTGAAGAATTAAGAACTGGAAAATCAAATAGAGCATAGTGTAATGAAATTATCGTCATATGCTTTTTCATTCTTCTCAAAACAAACGTGAAAGTTATTCAACATTCAGAGAAATATGACTACATGAATATTTATACGAACAACAGATAAAATGTCTTGTCGTTAAGTGAATTTTGCTTGTTCTCTTTGTTGGAAATCAATCTTTGAGAAATTTCTTGTCATTGGTTGGTTTGATAATCAATGATTCATATCTTTGACATACGTTTCTTTCTTACATTACCTCATGGTGAAATAACTTGTTTTTATTTATTTTCTTCTCTTAAAACAAGTCGTACGAGAATATTTGCGTTCTTTAGTATAGAGAATAACAAATTTGATGCTTCATATTTCAACAATCGAGCATTTACCAAACGAATTAATTCTTCATATATTTTCTTATTTAAAGCCTGAAGAAAATTTTTATTCATTTTTTAATTGCAATGATCGTTTACGGAAACTAGTGAAATGTCATGTCTTCTATAGTCGTCGTGCACTTAATAACGATATTAAAAGACTTTCAAAACTACACAGTTGGTACAAACATTTGGACTATATCGATGATGGTGTAATATTTCATTTGATACCCTTGAAAGGAGAACAAGCACGAAATGGTTTGGATCCAAGAATTTCTGATGAAAGTGGCATTCATTGGCATTTTTGGAAAGAGAAGTCTATTCCAATAGCTGATCAAAGAATACAACAAATTGTTGAAAAATATCCGATTAAACTCAATCCATTATTCTATCCTGGTAGAGTTTTTATAAAACCAAATATGTCTGGATTCAAGGAATTCGTTCGTCGATATTATGCATCTCATTGGAACATTTTGGAACCCATATTGGTTAGTGAATCATGGGATTACACTTGGACAAATGATATGAAAACTTCGATGGTACATATCCAAGAAAACGAGTCTAGACGGATGAAAAAAGCAATCTTAGAAGCAGCTGATCATATATGGAAAGAATTACAAGAGTTAGAAGACGTAAATATAACTGAGATACAATACCAGCAACAAACGGCAGGCTTTGGACTGGTTGTTCGACTGTGCGAGGTCCCAAAATCTGAATAATTTATGCAATTAAACTAATGGTGACCAGTTCCAACTAACGGCTTGTAACACTAAGAAATATTCTGCTGAAAATAAAGATTTAGGGCAAATAGATTTACATTCTTCTAATGTTTATTTTTTATCTTTGTTGTCAATCATTGATTAGTTCTTTACTACAAACATGATATTGATCTATATTTCTTCACCATATTTTTACCTTTCGTATTTTGAGAGAATTCATGAGTCTACCACTCAAATCTAATGTTAAACACAAAATGACAAAATGAAATTCATTACCTAACTCGAAACAGCACACCTAGTTGATCTTGTAAACAAAAGTTTTATACGGTTGGAATGAAGTCGTCTCAATAGAAACTCAGCAAAATAAAGGAAAAGCAAGGTAAGCAAGCTTTGCTATATACACATGTGTATTTGTCAAAATGAGAGAAGCAAGAAAAGATCAGACAATTCTCTAATTAATGAATGACTACAAAAAGCAAATTTTTCGCTAGGGATGAGCCAAAATACAAGGATAACCATTTGGAATCATTGCTGATATCCAGAAGAAGTGTTATTTTGTAAAATAATCTCGCTTTTTGAACTGTTGGTGGATGTAACTGGATAGATGGGATGAGCCTAATCCAAGCGAAACATCAACAGAAAATTTTTCTAAGAGAACAGAAAACATCCGTTAAAAGACAAAGAAACTATGAAATGACTCAGTTTAGATTACTATCGGTATAAGATTGAATAAAATAAAAATGAAGTATCAAAAAGGTGACTTGAGTGATGGCTTTCGTTATAATTCTAATTGCCAAAAGTATTTTGAATTTTGGCTTTTATTGTATCGCTCCTCCACCTAAAAAATTAGATTTAACTCTTTTATTTCAATATTTGCCAGTTGCATCAAGATTAAAACTGGTGAAGTATCTGAAATCTTCCCATGTAAAAATGTAAATCGAATTTGAAGCTAGTTTAGCTCACAAAAAATATAATTATTGTTTAGTCCATCTATAGAAATCTTTCAGTGTCAGTCCGCGTAAAATGTTCTCTTTTGACTTCGAATACGAACAATGATTTTTGAAAATTGAGAAACGAATATTTTTCTTTCTGAGATATGTTCGAAAAAAAACTAACTATAGCATTATATTCTATAGAAAATTTTAATCTATGCAGACTGAAGTGAAGATTCATTGTCTCCAATGTTCGTTTTTTTCTTTTAGGTTTTTACAGGAGGAGGTATGCATCGCTTTGAAATCATTGACAATCTTCAAAATAACAATGTATTGCTCTTCAACATTTACATATCAATGACAACATATTTCAGTGTGTGGTGTTACTACTAGTGATCGAATAGCCAAATAGAAATAAGAGTGACTCTTTTTCAAGTCGAATAATAAGAAAATCTGGTATGTATCAAGAAGACTTAATTGTATCCAATTGAAAAACAAAATTCATGAACTATAACAATAGATCAAAGTATTCGGTGAATGCAATAAAATTGCTTAAACTGTTTCTATTGTTGCGTAACAAGTATAAAAAGTTAATGAGATGACGTTGATCCTGATTTCTGTGGTCGCCCATCTCGTTTGATCATAGCGAAAGTTTTAAGAAACTCAATAACAGAGGTCTGAGAAATTTCAACAATACTGAATTTATAAATCATGTACTGCATGTATCTATATTTTTTGGTAAATCTTAGAATTGGACAAGTCAAAGTCATTCATTCAAAAAAGCTAATTTATATCAATCTCTCAATCAGCTTGTTAAAAAGAAATGATGTGTTACTGCTGCACAAGCATCAGTTGAACATGTGTTTTCCAAAAGCAGTCTTTTAATGAAATTTCATCGGTGAAGATCTACACAAGTTAATATTTGTATTTTAACATATCTAAAGTGCAAAAAGACATTAATTTGAAAGCAATAAATAATTTTTATCTTGTAAACAGATTGATTTCCTTCTGTGCATAAAAACTACTGATTAGATATCGGTTGTAAAAATAAACAAAACAAACAATAAATGTCAAAAGTAACTCGACTCGATTTGACACATAGTTTTATCATACAAGCGGCATCTGTGCAAGCTCGTACAATTTAGGCTAAAAAAACAGTGACGAGCCGAACTCATTTTGTATTGCAAGCTCTATGGAACTGAAAAGTATTTGAGAAGAAATTTTGAAAGATTTTAATCAAGTCGAAGAATCTTCTAATGAACAACTAGATAAATATGGAAAATATTGAGACTGAAATCTTCCATTCTTGATTAGCCTTTTATCATTATTAAAATGCTCAATAAACAAAAAGCAATTAATATTATTATGCTCAAACTATGATAGAGATTAGTTGTTTTTTCAAAACTACACAAGAATTTTGAAAAAGGATCAGTTCACAAAATGAATCAACTTGTTGTCTTTCATTTTGTAGTCCTCAATTCAATGTACAATAGAGTTGAACGAATATCTCGAAAAATCGACAACTACTCTTTCAATTGAATTATTAAAATGGCTACTTTCTGTATTCTCGTGAAAACTAAAAATCATTTGAAAGCAAACTGCTAGAAAATTTAGTCTAGTCATAACATTCGACCTTGAGCGTTGCTTAAGTACGACTCTTGCCCGTGTTTAAAATGCCTTCTACTAATATTTCATTTTTCAATACAAAGTTCTTTCCAGTATATTATCAAAAACTATTTTCTAAGGTTCAGTCAAATTTTTTTCAATTCTAAATTTGGCAAATATTCATCTACTGTTGATTTGACAACGTAATTATGAACTTCCTTGTTTAATCAATTCTCATTAGCATTGATGTTGATGAAAAACGAACAGAAAAAAAAATGACCTTGGGCGAATCAACAAAATAATTGTTGATATGCATCTGATCAAAGTTGCTGTCTGCAAACATTCGATCGAAACGTCCGAAACTACTTTCAATTGCATAGTTTAACCGATAAAGATTGGACAAGAACACTGAAGAAGAGATTCTTTTCTCTCTAGAAAGCTAAAAATGGTGACGGTTACAGAACAGAATTAGTTGTTCATTGATCACCGACTATACTACACGGAATATTCCTCTGTATCGTTTATTAATCGGATGTGAAGAATAATTTCGTTGTGGGTGTGAGTGTGGTAGAACAGAAGACCTACAGCGACATCTACACATTCATCTCCATCTCCACATACACACTTACCTCGAAATCTCTCAAAATCTGTGTAACTTATTGAAGGGTTGTATTATACGAAGCATCTCAGAAAGCAAGAGTCAATGAATGAAATGAAAACATTATAATTCATATCTCTCAAATTAGTTCTCTTGAAGTTTTAGCGCAAGCAACAATATTTGGTGGGCTGGAAAAAATTCTTGCATGGCGTTTTTTCACAAAGGAAATTACGACGAATCGGAACTATGGCACAAGTCCCAATTAGCTTTAAGCAATGTCAAAAATCCTCCTTTTGTACGAATATTTTTAAGAGAAATTGTTGTGTGACTATTAGTTTTGTTAATATCAATGTTTGTCACATGAAAGAATGTCATTGGTAAGATAAGGACTTCACGTTCATTTTCAAAATCAGATATTCCAGGTAGATTCTTTGATACAGTAAATAGTTGAATAGCGGTATCACATGTTTCTACAAATTTGAAAAACATCATCGCACTAGTCCCGTTTTCAGAAACATTTTTATCAAAACTAGATGGTACTTTTTGATCAACTGATGTTGAACAGAAAGTCTCTGTCATAAGAACATTTTCATTCTGTTTTAACGCCCATTTATATGGTTGTAGATCTTTCTCAGTCATTGATAAACCACCATATGAAATTCCTTGAAATGCACGATTTTTCAATGTGTCCAGATGAAAAAATTGGTATCACCAAACAATGCGATTATTGATCTGTCTCAAGATGTCGATAAAAAGGTGTTTTCAGTGAATAGAGACGTAGAAGATATTTAACTTGTCTAGATTTATCGTACTTGGAAAGAAGTTCACATGCCTTTTGATACTCAGGATGCGATGAAGTAACATGGTTGTCGATAAGGCGTTGTAATCCTTCGACAGCTAATTTTTCGTTGTATGCGAAATCTGGATAATCTTTTAGACGTAGGATATTCATGAATAATGGTCGCAAAATAGATGAAGTCACCAGATATTTGCCTACATTACAAAGCGCTTGAAACCCACGAGTTGTAGTTTGGCCATTGGCTCCACAAACCCAATTATCCTCTGGTGCCTCATTGTTATCATTCGACTGTTCAATATGTGTATTAAATAGCTGTTGAGTGTCATCTACTGTTTTGGTAGTAAACCGTTGTGAATCAGGTGCTCGATGAAACAGTTCACGAATCTCATCATTTTTCGCCTCTTCGTATGCAGTGTAGCCATAACGATTTCTTCGATGTCGAAAAATCCCATTTTGAAGAAGAAATCGAACGACATGAACATGACCATAATATGAAGCTGCGTGTAAACTAGTACTTCCATTCAGCTCGAGAAGATTAATATCGATGAATTTTGATGATGAGAAAATATTTTTATGTGAATTGATATCATCATTTCGACTTGCCCAGTAAAAGTCCGAAGCTTTACCTTCTTGAGGATTACGAAGAATTGCTTCTTCGTTCTCTTCTTCACTCGTCACGTTTCCCTTTAGTACTAGAGAAAAAGTATCAGTTCAATTATTTAGAAATTAAATTTATATTGATGAGCTATTTGATGTTGAAGATCTGTTGCAACATACATATATGCACCTCTTAATGATACAGAATGACCGTTGTAATTTGAGTTTCATTTTCTCTTGTGTAGCAAAAGACATCGAGTGTTTTTTTGTGTCAACAAGGTTATAGTTAAAGGAAAAACGAATAAAAATCAGTCATTCTTACTATTGATAACCGATGAAAGCATAAGAAAGAAAAATCCATCGACAGTTGTGCACATGAGTCAGTGTCAATTAAAAAGAACTCTTTTCGATGGCCGACGGTTTATCAAAAGATTAGTCATTCACCGCTTCTCCGTTGTGCTGTCAACATAATTGAACAGAATAAAAACGATTTTGCATAAAATGTGTTCTTATTTTAATGACACAATCCTATAACGTACGTTAATAAAATGCTGATTGAGAAGCACACGGTACCTGTCATGCTTTTGGGTGTGGGTGTGGGTGTGGGTGGGTGGTGGGTGTGAGTGCCGGTGAGAATGTTTGGGGGTGAGAATGTGGGTGAGAATGTGTGAGGTGTGAGGTGTAGATGTGGGTGTACAGCTTCTCTTCACTCACCCACACTCACACCCCACAGCCACCCACACCCACACATCCAGACTCACATGCATACCCACCCACACCCTTAATAGAATAAAACAGTTACTTTAATTTTTACCATCAAAGAAGCTATTATTATATATAGTTTTATCATCACCATTTTCAATCATACTATAAGCAACAATTTAGATAGTCAATTAAAACTAGATCATATTTATACGTATATAAGCATAATTAAATTTATATCTCATTTGAATAAAAAATAAAAATAAAATGAAACTGCATCGTTTAAAAATCTATCATTTGAAAACAAGAGAATCTATATTTCAATTGTAGACAGCAGGAGAACCTTCTGTATATCATGTCTAAATTTCGGTAGAAATTTGCCTGTAGAATATCCAGCAAAAATTATTATGGTCGAAATTCTTTGGGAATTTCGACAGTTATGAAAATTAGACAATACTGTCGAAATTCAGATGACGAAAATTTAGCCGCCGGATTTTCAGAGAACCCTATATAATAGACAAGCTATCTAATTTTTGCTTCACAGATTTCCAAAAAACACTATGCTATGATAGGTCATTCGTAATTTCCTTATTTAATCTGTAGTCACACTTTTCAATAAATTTATTCTTGTTCTATAGAATTATTATTCACCGAGAAGAAATGGAAGATAGTTTTTGCTGTTTTTTTTTCTATTATAAAGGATTTCTTAGAATAAGCTCATTAGTGAGTATTATATGTAATCTGAGTGAATATGTTTTGGTATTAAAAAAGAAAGCAAGCTTATTCTAATAAGTAATTTTATCCGAAAAGAAAAAAGATAAACATTATCACGTATCCAATGAACGTTTGAAAATTATATGAGTTACGCTCGTGTGTCTAATCTTCATATTCATTATCAAATGGTATTATACTATTTTGTTTTGAAATACTGACATTTTTCATCGTTACATGTCTTTCTTGTCAAGAAAAATTGTTTTTCTTTAGCAGAACTTAAATTTTCTTTTCACAGTTTGTTTAAAAAAAATATTCTTTCATTGCAAAAAATCTTGACATCCTCCTTTTTTTTTTTATGTTTGTTACTTCTTTAATCGCTAGTTTCAATCCTTTATCAATTTCATTGTCTTCAATCAACTCTTTTTCAGTATGCCGGAACTAATTTCAATATATGCACATGGATTTTCGTTTTTATATAGCTGATAAGGTTCGTATTATGTCTGCAAATTCTTTCAACTTGAGCGATGATTCTAGCAAATAAAAAATTTGATAAAGATTTCTCGATTACGTGCTTTTATAACTTGATGACAGATGTTCTTTTTTTCTCTAAAGGAGCATCTTGTAATGGTGAAATGAATATCCTAAGTTTGAATAGTAGAGCAGCATTGTTTGCTTCATATAAAGAACAAGATGAATTTCACCATTAAATACTAACTATAGTAAATAAAACCAGAGCTTGATTATATGAATCACAGCACAATCATCGGAAAACTTTTTTTTGAATATAAAAGCCTTTTAGCATACAAACAGATGAAAATATAAATTAAAGTGCAGTTAAAATAATCTATTAATTCGACGACTTGATATTTCACGAAACAAACGAAGTTGATATAAAAAAAAATTTATCGCATCATTATTACATTTTCTTGTATTTTATTTTGTTTATAAATTTCACATATAACTTTCTTCTGATTAATTTTGAGACGTAAGCATTATTATATGTATATATATATTGCTATTTCTATTTATTATTCTTTCAAATAATAAAAATGATAATCAGAAACTCAAAATAAATCGAGAATATGGCATATAGTGTTTGTCTTTATTAATGTTTGCAATCGAGCAACAGATTTTAATAGTTCCTATTCTTTTTTTTTTCAGAAAGAAAAAAATTATTATTTCCAAATTACATAGATTATCATAGTGATTTTATGATGGGTTGCTCATCATCTAAAAATGTCACACCTTATATTCGATCCGAACATTTATTATCAGATTATGAAAAACCTTTGTCGATGACGAAAACTATCCCACAAACGACACGTTTTCTTGAAAGTTGTCTTATTATTTGGCTCTATGATGAAACTATGAATAAATTTGAAAACGAAATAAAACACTTACGAAAACTCATTTATGGATTAAAAACATTTAATAATATCGATGCATGTATTACTTTTATCAACAATGTTCAAGATGAAAAAGTATTTCTTATTATATCTGGTACATATCGAAAACTCGAATGTTTTCATCATTTATCACAACTGGAAAAACTATACATATTCAATTCTTTTCAAAAAGAAAATGACGTCCAGCATCAAACTTTAAAATATGATATTATCCAAAATATCGATAATCTTTATAAACAACTTCAAGAAGATATCCAATTATGTGAAATAGATTTCATACCTATTACTGTTGTATCGTCATTATCACAAGATATTTCATTCTCATCAAAATTAACAAAACAACAAGCATCATTTCTTTTTGGACAAATGATTAAAGAGATAGCTTCTCGTCTTAAATTCGAAAGTTCTTCTAGAGATGTCTTGATCGATTTTTGTCGAATGAATTATATGAATAATGATGGAGAATTGTGTATAATCGATGAATTTGCAAAAAATTATCGTCCAAATAAAGTACTTTGGTGGCTAACAAATCGATGTTTCATTTCAAAAATATTAAATCGTGTACAACGTACACGTGAAATTGATATTATCTATAAATTTGGTTTTCTTATTAAACAAGCTAATATACAACTTAATCGATTGTATGAAGAAAATGCATCATTAATGAAAACAATATCTGTTGTCTATCGTGGTAAAACCATGCCACATATTGAATTTAATCATACAATAAAGAATAATTGTGGTGGTTTTCTTTCATTTACTAATTTTCTTATCACTACTTGTAACAAAAAAGTTGCTATTGATTTTGTTGATCGTCGACTTGTAATGCATCCTGATATGATAGGTATTGTTTTCGAAATAAATATCGATCAAACATTATTGAATGAAAAAAATCCGTTTGCCTTGCTTAAAGATGTAGATATGAATAAAGATGAAATTTGCTTTTATATGAGTACTGTCTTTCGTATTGAATCTGTTGAACAAACTACGTATGGTGTAATGGTTATATGGTTGGTTAAATTAAAACAAATTAATGATAATGATCAACAACTACTTCATATTCTAGCATCTACTCGAAATCCTGACTTACATACTAATCAAGGCTATTTTTTGGGTAAATTGCTGATAGATATGGAGGAATATAGACGTGCTGAGCAGGTCCTTTTCGGATTATTGGAAGATCCTAATTTTCGTAGTCAACCTCGGCGTCTTGTACGCTTACATAATGGTCTTGCTGATATTTATACCTGCAAAAATGAATATATTAAGGCTTTAAATCATTATCGACAAGCACTTCAAATGAGTTTGACTTATCTACCATCTGATCATCCAGATCTTGCACCTATATATAAGGCGATCGATGACAATCATTTGAATCAAAAAAACAGTATTCCTGCTTTAGAAAACTATGAGAAAGAAATTGAATTGTTGGAAAAAGATACGCCACAAGTTAATTTCGAGATCATCACTGATCTATAAAATTGTGTCGACAAGACAAAGCAATTTATTAAAAGTAATGAGTAACTTTGTTATTTTTATTAATGTTGTCGAATGATTAGTTATTAATATATTACCTGTAGACAAGATTTATGATACTCATTCAATGTTGTTTAAATTTTGACTTCAGTGTGGGTGTAGATAGCTTAAGTTTGCAACTACATATACTCTACGCACACTCACACGCTTTTATGTTATCTTTAATTAATAGGATCAAGTAATAAATTTTTATCGTATGATGCTATATAACATTTTTTTTTAAATCTCGATTATTTTATTATGAAGAGGACGTACGTATTTTTATAAAGTTTTCGTATATAGCTTTTCTTGATCGATGATTAATACAAGTATGAGAATCTATTGTTTCTTTCCAGTACTTTCGACATGAAATAGAAATTTTATTCAAACTTCCATCTTCATTTTGCCAGATCTGTATTGAAATAATAGTTCCGGACAATCTGAAAAGATAAAGATATAGTAAAATAATGCAAACATCTACAACGCCATATAATCAATGAAGATTTTTCAGATTCACTATCTCTTCAAGCAATAAAATATTCTTTTCTGACTCCATATAAATAACAAAATAGAAAAGTGTTTGTTTCTTTTTTTGTTGTGTGACAATAAGCACATTCAATATTTCATAAATTAATTTGTTTTACATATTTGAGTATTTAGTGAAATATAAACTGAACTAAATTCATTATTTATTGAGGATTTGGATTAGATAGTTATTTGTTTACGATACCATCTAATTAAAGTATTATTAAAGATAAATATTTTTTTATTGTGTGAGATTCACCTCATTATGTACAGGTGACTAATATCAAAGTATGTTGTCATGTATGGGTGCTGTTGTTCATTCGATTGGTTATAAAAAGGTCGCATGATGACATTATTTGCGGAGATTGTCAACATAACGTTGAAGTGGAATTGTCTTGGTCGGTTTCAGTCTTGCTCGAAATCTAACATTGATTTGAATACACATATATTAATAATTCAAATTTGTATGAACTCGTTGAACTTTTGTCAAGTATATATTTGTAATATTAGTAGTAGTTGTTGCTTTATTCAATTTGAAAACATATTTCTCTGCTATAAGCAAAGATTTTCGTTTTCGTCAATTAATAAATGAAAATAGTTGACGACTTTGATGAAGTTATATCTGTTGAGTATGCAACAACTACAACTATAACAGTAGAATTTTGATTATATAATAGGTTTTTGTTCGACTTTTTTAGTTAATCTCTATCAGGTATTACTCATCATTGTTACTATTGATTAGAAATCTAGACTCTTAGAACTATAGAAAAATAATCATGAATTGTAGGTACTTAGAGTTCACAATTCACTGAAAACATCATGGTTTTCGATATTTTTCCTCTAATAGTTTTTCTTTTCGATCTTCTTTAACACACCATTCATTTATAAACTGTGAAATTTCCTACTGTTTGTGACACTACCATGTGTGAGTAAAACGTCTACGTCCTAATTTTAAAAAAACGTGCGTTAATTCTGAAAATTTTATTGAAATCATCGATGCTTGAATCACAACAGCCAAAATACACGTACATGAAACTGTTAATAATTGACAAGTCTCATCCTTCGTTTTATTTTTAGATCATTCTAGATTCTTGGTACAATAGTTTTCTGATGTAGTTCAAATCCTCATAAAAACACTATTCAACAATAGTTTTACGTCACTAACAACTTTGGCTAACTGAGGAGAAAAGTTGTTCATGTTTAGTATGAGTACGGTGGGACTTAATAAATTCTAAAATCGGACAATGTTTTGTGCTTAATGAGTGCATTTTCAAATCATTGATCATTGAAAATAGTACAATATTCAATTGGGTTGTTATTTTATGAAAGGATTAGAAGAGATCAGTGTCCATCTTCTATTCTACATTATCACTAGTCATAGGCGACCGGTTTATCGTAATGATAAAAATAGAATAGAGTAGTCGAAAATCAGAACGTCAACAACTCATTCATAAGCTGGTAAGGATTATCGAAACAAGAGACTAAACAGACATATAATGCTCAAGTTTCTTCATCGAATGTAATTAAACCAAACTCATTTCAATAGAATCTATTAAACAGAAATCTCCTTGTCAATATCTGCTTAGCGTAAATTTTTAAACTAATTCAACAGAGTACTAGGAGATCAGATATAGAAGTGTCAATATTCACTGTGAAAATATTAGACCATGGAGAGGGTTGGATATTGTCGAAGTTTTTATAGAAGGTCACATCGAACTATGTCCAAAGTGACTATATTCTACAGATGAAATCTCGTGCGACAGTTTTCTGCTTTCAAAACTCAAATATCAACCATTTTGAAATTGGATTTAACGTCAACAAAACGAATGTTAAACATGTGAATACAAATATGTATCCAATTCATGAAAGACTATCTCAAAAATCATTTATCTACCCTTTTGTAATTGAATGTACGGATGCTTTGAGTATTTCTCTAAAGAGCTGATAAATAAATAACGTTTGAAATGCCACTTGTATATACAGAGCACGGTATAAATTATAGTCATCAATAGTAATTGAAAACATTGATCTATATATATTTAATAGACCTAGGACAGTTCCATATCAGTTCCGCTATTGAGAACTGTTCAAACAGTTTGATAGGAACTGATCTGTCCAACCAGTTCTTTTAAAAGAACTGATCTGTGCCTACCAGTTCTTTGATAGGAACTGGTCCGTCCAACCAGTTCTTTAATAGGAACTGATCTGTCCAACCAGTTCTTTGATAGGAACTGATCTGTGCCTACCAGTTCTTTGTTCGGAACTGATCTGTCCAACCAGTTCTTTGATAGGAACTGATCTGTTCAACCAGTTCTTTGAAAATGGTCACAATAGTCAGTTTTTGAAAAAGAACTGCTTACACTAACCAGTTCTCGAAAAAGAACTGGTCAAAATAGCCAGTTCTCGAAAAAGAACTGGTCACAATAGCCAGTTCTTTTTCAAAGAACTGGTCACTTTACCCAGCTCTTGAAAAAGAACCGGATGCTTAATCCGGTTCTTTGAAAAAGAACTGATTACAATAGCCAGTTCTCGAAAAAGAACTGCCGGGTGTACATAGTTCTCGTCAAAGAACTGGTCACTTTAACCAGTTCTCGAAAAAGAACTGGTCGCTATACTCAGTTCTTAGAAAATATACAGTTCATAGAATTGGGAACTGTCCTAGATCTAATATTTAATATTTATTGCTTGAATAAATGTCTCATGTGTTTAATGACTTGTGTATTAATTATTTCATCTATGTAATAAGTCTCTTCGAATAAAATCATCTATATTTATTCGTATTATGAATCATGAATTTGCACAATATCAAGTTTCAATATAGAATACGTTAATCGAATTAATTACGCATTACAGAACCAGAGTTGGAATCGCTAAGAAAATTATAAAACGGTCCGGTACGGCCGGCTAGAATCACATGTCCAACCGGTGAAATTCGGGTGAAAAAATGGCTCCAAATATGAAGTAGTTTAGGAGTGCATGTAAGAGACACTCATCATAATGAATCCTTTTAAAGAGCACCTCAAAATAAATGATTAAATTAAGATATGTTTCGAGCACTTTTTTTACACATTCTTACCGAAATACATATGACACCTTAGTTTTTAATGGCCAAAAAACGGTTAACAAAGAAGACTTTTCAAAATTTCAACCGGTGAATTTCCAATTTTTATCGGTTGGGTTTCAACTCAGTATAAAACTGTCATGAATAAAAATAGAAAAATGCAATTTCGAAGATTCTCGATGACCTGTGATTATCGAAAATTTTTAAAATGTATTGACTGTTTTTGTATTCATTACTAAAGCTTAGTGTGTACAATCTTTTTCTCTACAGAAATCGTTAATATGGTAAGGCAAAATACTTTTTTTACTGGCGGCATTTTCTTATAAAAATTCATTTGAAATCATTTACAGATTTCCAACATGAATCTTTGAGAAGATGTATCGTCAAGCTAACTCTATCAGCTAATAGTGATTTGATACTTTGAATCGATTTCATTAGAATTTATGTATCGTATACTCATTCTAATTTATTGATGTTTAATACGAGTTTGTTCACTTTCGAAGAGACTCAATTTCTCTAGTTAAATTATAACCAGAGATCAAGCAAATAATACACAAGAGAATTTCGAACTGTTGTTTGATAGTGAGATGAAAGACTTCGAATTAATTAAATGATGATGCTCATTCACAAAAAGAACTTCGTATTTATTTGATTATAATCTGATTTAGTAATTAGTTGTAAGATTTGAGCTTCTTTTAAAAGTTATGTTAAGCTGAGAAAAATAAAAACTTATCCATGTTTATAATCGAAAAAGTCTCATCAAAAGTATAAACAAAATAGACAATAAATTTAACAATGTTTATAGTTAAAGAAGCATTTTGAGATTACTTTTGACAAATATTTACGAGATAATTGTGATTATGTTGCAATTTCTACACTTAATTTTATATAAGAGATTTAAAAAAGCAACACATTGTTGATATCAAAAAAGCGAATTGTTTCAAATTGCAATATTGTTTTTCTAAGACACGGTATTTTTGTAAGTTTTTGACGAATATTCAGTATTTTTTATTGTTCTCTATGAAGACTTCAAAAAATAAAAGTAAATAAAAAGATTTTTGTGACTAAATTAAAAAATTGATTTTTATTCGTGTTTTTGTTTAGCACAAAAATAAAACCTGTTGTAATTTTACATAAATGGCATTTTATCTATATTGTAAAACCACAAAATTTATGATCAATAATCATAAACTTTGAAAAAAAGCTATTTCGAACTATTTTTCTCCTGAGTGTATGTCACAAAAAAAGTTTTTTGGAGAGTCTTTATTTTTATCATTATGTACATTAACAACTTCAAGATTATCATTGTTAGTTAGACATCGATACCATACTTGATAGAATATTACATTTTTCTATCAAATGAACCACTGTTTTTCTATTTATATTTTTGAGTAAGAATGTGTAAATCCGATCTCATGATAACTATCGATTTTTTTCTTAATGATGGTTGTGTTTGATTATAATTGACATAAAATAGATTGACCATGAATACACATATAGTAAACAGAATGTTTTATTTTTTTTACCTTTTCTTTACATTATAAACAGCATAATGAGTGTGTTTGATACATAACAATGTGTTTCTGTTCTTATTTATACCACAGGTATTGTGAGCCTCATATATGCGTATCCTTGATAGATGTACAAATAATTCAAAGGCAAACATAATAAATCAACTGTATTATATGATTAAAGTCCTTGCAATAAGATAAAAATAGTAGCATCTTGTTTTCTAGCAGAATAATCTGTTTTCTTTTTTCTCTTATTTTTTTGTCTCTTTCTCTCATATTTTATGATATGTAAGCGATACGACTCAGCTATTAAAATCAGTAACATACGTTTTAGATCAATCACTTGATGTCAACAATCGTCACAATCAATCGAATAAAAGTGAGTTGATTGTATAAGATTTCAATCGAGGGTTCTAATTTTCTTTCTTATAAACGAAATAGCAATGCTTCTCTCTTTTTATCATATAAATCTTATTATATAAATTCTAGGCACTATATTAACTATCGAACGACAAATAAAGAGAGATGGGAAACAAAAAAAGCACTAATAATAGTATTCCACCTTATGCTGCTCCTCCTCCGCCTCCTATGTATGATTTGCCTAATGGTGGTATACAGAGTAAGCGTTTATAACTTTTGTTATCTTCTACATATTGCACATACACATATATAATATTCTTTTGGTTTCTTATTACTTAGCTGTTGTGACTTCAATATCTATTGAAACACCACGACTAAAACAACGACCACTCGGACGTAGTCGAAATCGACTTCTTCCTAAAATTCGTGCGATTTTTATACCCCAGGCTCGTCCTGCTGGGATTGGGTAAGGTCATTTATGTAATGTTATGCAACAAGACTTTCAATGAGTTCTTCGTCTTTTGCTTAATAGTGTTTTACCAATGACCTGTGCAGCACCTGTAACAAATCCGTGTGCCAATCTCGGTAATAGAATTCCAATCGAATTTCTAGTAATTTTTAATGAATATATGCTATTTTCGTGTTCATTTTAGGTATCGGAGGATACGGAGCCTATGGATATGGAGGATATGGATACGGATACGGATACGGATATTGCTGTTATTACTAAGCTGCAGTGATGCTCTATCATTGATTCACTCTTTGTGAATATAAAAGAAACAAGCATATTAACAATCATACACAATTAAACAAATAAGAAGGTGTTAGCACATACTCAAGGAATTTTCTTTTTTGAAATTGTTTTTATGATTCTTTTACATTTTTTTCTTTTTGTGTTTATTTCTTACACTATAGCAATTACTTATTTTTTTTAACAGAAAAAAACGAATAACTAATGATAAATGTTTCGAAAAAGAAAACAATAGAGCACGAGTCCCATGGAAAAGTTTTGATCCAAATAAGTAACTATGAAGTACTTTCAATATTTTTTCCTGAAGTGTAAACAAAGTAATTTTTATGACTTCCAAAAGTACTAAAAGGTACTTATGCAACTATAGTTTTGATTAATAAAGTAACTTAAGTACTTGGCAGTAAGCTATATATTGATTTTGTAACAATGCCCTGCAAAACAATAAATGCACTTATGAGTGTGACTAAAAGACTATTATTTTTTGATTCATACAAACAAAATTCACTGTTACCCATATACATTCATTTGCAGTGTAATTTGTTCACGATCCATCCAAATTGCTGTAGGTGTGACAGTCTTATCTGTCAGCATCCATTACTATTCAGTATTCTATAATACTAGGAGAAAAGAAATTTACGATTCTTTGTAGTCATTCACTATATCATCCTCGATCAGGCATTATGTATTTTTCATTGTACTGCTTCTCATCATTACTTTTCTTGCTGTCATAAATGCACAACTTAGAAATATAACACTATCGTAAATTTCAGTTAACTAAAATTTTTTCATGACGTTTATATGTTTCAAGGTATTATAATCTTGACAGTTAACAATCGTTGTCTCATGGGTTTTTATGCGTTGCATCCATTTCGTCTCCAAAAGGATGCATAATGCTGATATTTTAAGGAAAAGAAAAAAAAATGCATGTTATGTAAAACGTGCTTAATTATCAAATACTATGTACATTCTAAAGGACGAAATCGATGTAGCATGAATCAACGATTATTGACTATCAAGAGTATAATACCTTGAAACATATGAAAGTTATGAAAAAATTTTAGTTTACTGAAATTTACAATAGCATTATATTTCTAAATTGCACATTTATAACAGAAAAAAAATGATCATGAAAAACAGTGAAATGGAAAGTAGAAAATGCCTGATCGAGAATGATATAATAAATGACTACAAATGTTATATATTTCTTTTCTTATAGTATTATAGAATACTGAATAGTAATGGATACTGACAGATAAGACTGTCACACCTACAGCAATTTGGATGGATCGTCGACGAACTACACTACAAATAGATGTATATAGGAAATAGACCAATTTATTTGTATGAATCGAAAAATAATAGTTTTTTAGTCACTCTCATGAGTAACATAAGGATGTGAACCGTTGATCGTGAATATCGGACTTCTCAGGATACCACTGATGAGAATGTAGCTGTGGCTGATAACCAGGAGAGAAGAGAGGCAAAATTAATAATACCTTTTTGAGCATCATTTTAACATGATTCTTTCAGTGTACTAAGGCTATCGCCTGAATTCAGAGCTTAGTTTACTCAAATCCTAATTGAATATTGACAAGGCAAAATGCAGTGAGTCATAAAAAAACAAGAATACCTGACTATTAGTGTCGCATGAAAATCTGGCTACTCTTTTCTTTTCCTAGAGTAATGGTAAGATGTTCGGACGATGATTTTTTTGACGGAACCTCTTCAAGTATGAAATCTCGTTTTTGCACACATGCAGTTTTTACTGAATATTTTGACAAAAAAAAAGCTTGATCCTACTTAGAATTTCTTGAAAATTGAATTTCAATTTCTGACTGGAAACTTTCGACAGATAAAGGTTCATAACGAACTAGTCTCATTGAAATCTTTATATGTGCGAAGTTTTTAGTCAAAAAATCAAACGTTAGTCTCCTTCACTACTCATTGAGACTTATCAAAAAGTGATATTACAATTGAACAGGTTGCCTTATTAGTACAAAAATCAAAGATTTCTCGTTGATCTCGACAGATTCATAACTTCTATGATCGATGTTATCTTAGCAATCAAGTTGAATCATAAATGATCTCATTGACTTTAAGTTCGGATGTGCAGAAATAAACATGTTAGGACCAATGTGATAAGTGAGTGTTTGGGATTTCCAGAATTGAAAAAAAACTGAAGTTATTCATTCTATCGAGGATCAATAGATATAAAACCATGCGTTTCCCTTTCGCACATTTTTGCACAATGTGTTCTTTTTCACCCACGTCGCATTGTCAACACAACTATCGATAGTCAAACGAAAGGAAAGATATGACGAGCTGGAAGAAAGAACATGGAAAGAAGAAAAGGCACGTGTTTCGAGTTGCGTTGTGTGATTCGCTCATCGTTATCGGTGACACAAATCCACATCGGCAATAAGACTTAATTTCTTCAAGAGTCAGTCCGCGTATGTTACGACTAAATGTGGGTGCAGCTTTGAGTCTTTTATTTACCTTAAGTCACTAACATCCGACATTCATATCGACACTGAATCACTAGTTTTTTTTTGGTTTCATTTCTCTTCTTGATATGAATATATCAGCTACTGACTTCAAGAAATAGTCGTTATCAACGCTTGAATATGTGTTGATTTTCTTGCAGACGGATTTACGAAGTATACTAATAGAAGGAAGAAATGTATTGAAATAATTTTCTGTTAAACGTTTCTTACTATTTACGTTTCGATAAGTAAAACTTCTATCTTTGTTCTTAACAAAACTACATATAGATTGTGGGTAAATGAGTCAGAGTGTTACTTTTATATATATCCACACCTTATATTTTGCTGTAGTTATGAGATTTTATGTTTGCATTCTTTTTCTGTTTCTTTCTCCACAATGAAATGTTATGCTCGTGTTTAGATGATGATAGAGCATTAAAAAAAGTGAAAATATTACAGTCGAGCAGGAAAGTAAAACGCACTTGCCATTAAAAAAAAAACTAGACGTAAACAATAAAGAAATGCGACGCGCAGCATCTCCATCGATGACAACATCAACTTCATCATCACCAACAAAGCGCCCGTAAGTGATGATTTTTGAGGTTTGACTCATTAATCATTGAAACTCAACAAAAATTTAAATGATGTTAGATTTTCTTAATTTTCAGTAAGGTGATCGCGTCTCGCAACACAACAGTAAATGTTGACGAGATGAACACTGGGCAAGATGTCGTGACAATACCTCGTTCTTATCAAGTAAGATATCTTATGAAAAGAAAACTAGATCGTTTTAAGCTAATTTTTTTCCATATAGACTGAACTAGTGGAACAAGCTAAGGAAGAGAATTTGGTTATTTGTCTGCCTACTGGTAGTGGGAAAACTTACATAGCTGTAATGCTTATCAAAGAAATGGCAAATGTGATCCGTACGAGTATCGAAGATGGAGGCAAACGAACCGTATTCCTTGTTAAAACAGGTTTGAATCTGAATCGAATCTATTTATTATGACCAAAGGCTTCTCATTTAAGTTGCACTTGTCCAACAACAAAGTGATTATATTCGTATTCATACAGATTTAAGTGTCGGTAAATATTACGGTGAATTGGGTGTTGATTTATGGGAAAAGCAACGATGGATCGATGAATTTGAACATCATCAAGTACTTGTATTCACTGCTCAAGTCTTTCTCAATCTAGTCGATCACAATTATTTTCGTATGTCATTCATATGAATTTGAAATTCGAAAATATCTTGATCAATTTCAGCCTTATATAAAGTCAATTTATTAATTTTCGACGAATGTCATCATTCTGAAGGAGAGAATTGTTATGCAGCATTGATGAAACGGCATTATGATTCATGTCACGATCCACCACGTATACTAGGTTTAACAGCATCGATAAGTGCTAAAAAAATCATGCCATTCCAATTGAATCAAGCTGCCAAAGATATTGAAAATATTTACAGGTTATAAGACATGCTAATTTGAAATTCACTTATATATTTTATTCGTTTCAAGAGCTCGGGTTGCTAGTAGTTCAAATCGACAAGAAAGTAATCGACATGGTACATCGGTTCAAGTCAAGTTCATCCCCTGTTTATCATACAAAGACCAGGTGTGCTCAAATAACGAGATTGTCATGATTGTATTTGATGTAAGATTCTTATCTTTTCAATAGCAGTATCTCTATTTAAGAACAATATTTAGACAATTGAATCGATTCTACTTGATCTTCAGCCATATTTGAACGAACAAAAAGCAGAAGGCAAAAAGATTGAGCATGATCTTGTCGATCTAATGCTCACTACAGACTATCTGGGCCTTAATCTAGATGAATATAATGCTCGTTCAGTGGACTATACAATATATCTGCAATCAGAATATGTTAATATATCTCGACTCAAACATTATCTTATGAATTTAATACATACGGGCTATGAACTTGGCATCTATGGTCTCTTTTTAGCAGCTGAAGCACTTCAAAAAGTCCTTAAATCATCTCAAGCACTCAATTTAATTCCTGACTTAAAGGGAAAAGAATTATTCAATAATTCATTACAACGTATTGACTGTCTCGTTGATGATATTCTTCGAAATTTAGTCGACATCAATCAGAACAACTATGAAATTCTCTTCAGTTCAAAACTATTCAATTTATTTCAATGTATCAAAAATTATATTGACAAAGATCAGCTTGGTCGTTGCATTATATTTGTTGAACGCATCTATACAGCAACTATTTTGAGTAATATCTTGGCTTTTCTTGGCGAGAAATGCTTACCGGAGAACAAGAATTGTCTCAAAATAAAATACCTCACTGGACCCAAAGCAAGTATAGGACAAGCGACAATGACAGCCAAATATCAGGTTTTAATCAGCTAATCATGTTTTGTTAGAAAATCGAATTTCTTTTAGCGTCAAGTCATAAAAGAATTTCGTACGGGTGAAATCAATGTTTTGGTAGCTACGGCAGTAATTGAAGAAGGTCTCGATATTCCACAATGTAATCTTGTGTTTCGTTTCAATAAACCGCCCAATTTTTCCTCATACATGCAATCGAAAGGACGTGCTCGAGCTAAGCAAAACGCATCGTATGTGATTTTGATTGATAAATCAAATGAAAAAACATACTCAAAAGATTTGGTCGCATACAAAAATTATGAGGAAATCGAAAAAGTTGTTTTTTTTCCTCTCACTCATGTTTATTCTTCTGATTTATCAAATTTTTTTCTGTTCTCAATTATCTTAGATGCTGCAAGAAGGATTTTCTATCGACAATGATGACGATTCGAATACCGTCGATTTGAATCAGTTAGAACCTTATCGAACAGATAATGGCGTTGTCATTAGTGCAATACGTGCTGCTCAGATTATTTACGAGTGAGTCAAATTTTTGCAAGACACCTAATCCAAAATAGTTTTTCTATGAAGATATTGTGCAATTATTGGCCATGGTCGATTATGTCCCCCGCGAATTCTCTCTCATAAAACCAATCACAAGACATTTAAGTGTATTCTCTCGATGCCAGCAAATTGTCCAATACGGGACGATATTGTTGTAAGTTCGTTTGACTTTTGTTCCTACTACATTGGAAATACTAGAAAAGATTTTCAACTTGAGTTTACAATGAAGATTGAGAGATAATGGAAAATTCTTCTGATGATATCAACGTTTGTATGAGACAGGCCGGATAAAGGATCAAAGAGACGAGAGATACAAATGATCTTCGTCGAGATTTTGTTCAATCATGGACGGCGAAACAATCCAGCGTCTTTCAAATCAACATAGACGCATCACATGTTTTTTAACGGAATTCAACTGCAGCATGTATTGATGCTTTTTTTAAAAACTAAAAGAAAGGTTGAAAATCTGAAGAAATCATAGGTTTTCAAGTTTTGCATAACATGAAAGAAGTGCCATTAAAAGCCACACACTAACCCGAATCCATGACTTTCCGGTCATGGAACTTCAGAAACTAGTAAGAATTTGTAGACCAGAAGCTGATTACTGCCTTTTTTCTAGTTCTGGTCGTAATCGATCGCAAAATTCCTGCTTCTAACTTCGTAATCATTTCTACGAGTTTTTCGACCGCAAACGACCCGTTTTTCTTGACATAAGTCATAAACGATTTCATATCTGGGATTCGTTCTGTACTGCTAATCTTTATGTCTAGGTAGCATATAGTTCGATTCATAAATAGCAACACATGAATAATACATAACAAAGTAAAAAAGTATGAGAGAAGTTTTGAGATTCATAGTAGAAAATTATGGTAGAAGACATAAAGAGCATAAATAAGGATGACAATGGATTTTTATGTCACTTTTTTAAAGCAAAGTGAAAAAAATTCACTACAAAGTAAATGATAGATCAAAGTAGCTTGAAACTACTTGATAAAATTTCATTTCCGGATAAGATGAGATTCAATTATTCTCATTATAATTGTTTAAGTTTTTATTAGACCACGAACTTTGACGTCTATTATTTGCTCTTGTAGGTTAATAAATTTAGAACATTTAATGTTTTACAAAACAGATTAAATTCACACAACATCGATGTTAAACAGAGTTGTTATCGAACAATTTTCTAATCTAATGATAGACCTTATGTATATGCTTTTCGATAATTTTATAGTTATCAAATATCAATTTGTAACTAATTCTGATACTACCGCTTGATTTCTTTTATTGAAAACAAGCTCGTACTCAAAGAATTAATACGATTTGAATTAAAAAAAATGATATATTAAAAGACTATTGATATTTGCTGTATTAATGTAGTGATTGATTTATGAAGATCTAAATTGCAAAGAAATCTTTAGAAAATGCTATAATATACAACAATAGTGCACAAGCTTGTGTAATGGAATTACAAACTAAGTGTAAGCGTAATTAATTAAATTTATTACTTTTTTTCCACAAAATACCTGAGCGTCATCGAAATAAAGTATAGATGATGCGTTCTAGAAAACAACCAGATCTACACTCACACCCTTGTTATGTTCATCTTATCACAAACAACATATTGTCATTCGATTTAAAATATGAGGACATTTATTTTGTCATTTAGTGTGAAAACAGGAGCAAAAAATTGGCTAAATTTGAGTGTTGTTTAAAAATGGTCGAACTACTTCATCAACAAAGTAAGTACAAGAGTATCAAATATGCGATACACAGCAGTGTAATATTGATTCTTTCAGAAGAACTAAATGATGATTGTCTTCCGTATCATACTCGATCGTTCATAATAGACGATATTTCGATCGAACATCGACTTTTTAAATTGTGCGATGAGTTATTCGACAAGAAAAATGACAATACCATAGAAATATTTCAAAAACAGGTCCATTATAAACCAAGAATTTTTTTTGTATCGATCGAAACAAATTTCTCATATGTTTAGATTAATTCATTTCCAAACAAGCCAACTGATTCATCGAATACTTGGTATCTCTATCGAATTAATATTCGAACAGAAAATGACAAACTCGGCTTTGTTGTACCATCGAAACTCGTCGAAGTAATAAATAATATATTTCAATTCTGCTAATCAAAACATCTATATTTCTAGCTACCAAATTTCTATCTCTATGATGCTAACAATGAAATACTAACAGTAGATATAGTCTATGTGAAAACAATTGATTACATGAAACATAAAAATGAAATGGAATACTTTTGTAAATATTTGTTTGAGAATGTCTTCGATGGAATAGTGAACAGTTCACAATCGATTATTAAGTTTAATATTGAACATTCATCATTTGAATTACTTCCATGTTTATTAAAAAGTGAGTCAAAAAAAAAATCTCATGTCTCTATCGATTGATTCTTGTTTGCTAGATTACAATGAGATCGATTGTGATAGAATGTTATCAATATGTAATCGATTAAATAAACCTGTCAAACATCATTCTCAACTATCCGCTAGTGAACTTTATGTCGCCTGGTATCTGCCACACAAACCATTATACATTACTATGCCAGATACGGTTCCATCAAAACGAACATCAGATTTATGGATGTATAAAAATAAATCGGAAACGATCAAAACTTATGCTGACTATTTCGAAAATAAATTACCGCATATTTCTATAGATCGAGATGCTTTAATGGCAACATTGAAACCTATACGCAATCCTCGAATAAACTATCTTTATCAAGTACCAGCAACAGAAAAGAATGCTAAAAAAAATTCTACAACCAGCTTACTCCTTGATCAATCTGTCCACTATCCAATAGAACTTCTTCATTATGCTCCAGTAAATCAAGCTGATATGAAATTGTTCTCTAAGTTACCAAGTATTCTTGTACGTCTTACTCAACTATATTGGATTGAACAATTGCGAATATTGTTTGCTTCGAATATTCGAACTTATTCGGTATGAGAATCATAAACGAATAGTTTCTATTCTGATCAATATTATCCATTTATAGTTGACGGATGTAAAACCGATGCGAAAACCTGTTGATTTCAACGATTGTCTTAAGAACATGGATTTATCATCAGCTACAACTGTCTTAACAGTAAGTGCTTTTTAGCATTTTGATATTGCAAACAGACTTAGAACCAAAAATCATGAAATTTTAAGAATGTGAAAGTGTATCTTTTTCTTAGCACAGCAATTCCACGCTGAAAACAAGAGGAAAGATTCATTTCTCTTATGATACAATTGCCTAACACTTGAATATATTGATAAAGCAGTTCAATATCATTCAACAGATTGAATATTTCTTTTTCAGACTCGACGATCTTTACTTCCATTAACATCAATCACTTACGATTCATTGACCATAAAAGATCAATTAATGACAAATGATGAACAACCTTTTCCCGATGTTCTTTTTCAAGCCGTAACACGACGTTCCAGTGGTGAACAAATGGACAATGAAAATTTCGAAGTTCTTGGAGATTGTTTTCTCAAATTAACTGTTTCAATGTCGCTGTATTATCGTTATCATTTAGCTAGTGCTGGTTTATTGACAGCAAAAAAAATTAAACAAATTTCAAATGAAAATCTCTATCGATTAGTCGTTAAAAAAAACTTACAAACTTATTTGTATGTTGATAAAATTGTATTTCGAGGTAAAGATGCCAATTGGTTACCACCTGGATACAGCCTCGATGAGACAAAATCGACCAATGGTGAACGATACTCTTATCAGAAAGCAAAACGAAAAGCTTTTAGCGATATGATAGAAGCATTTATTGGTGCGTTTCTCATCTCGAGTAATTATAAAACAACAATCAAATTTATGCATTGGCTTGGTCTCGATGTTATTCCGATCAATGAACAAAGTAGAAAGTCTTGTCATTAACATACAGGCATAATATTTGTCTTTGTTAATATTAGGTAACGTAATAGAACTACCATCGATTCTCTCTTCAAGTATCTCAACGAATACTGATGTTCAAATCAATCAAATAATTGATACATTTTTTCACGATCGAGCATTTTCTGATATTGAAAAGAAAATCAACTATGTCTTTCGAAACAGGGCATATCTTATTGCAGCATTTACTCATCCGTCAAATTTTTCCAATCGTATAACAGATTGTTATGAACGGTAGAGAATCGAAATGAAGTATGTTTCTTTTAGTCATTACTTGTTTTTTTCTTTCGTAGATTAGAATTTCTTGGCGATGCCATACTTGACTTTCTAGTCACACGTCATGTATTTATCAATTATAATCAAAACGTGACACCTGGTAAGCAAGATTTTTCAACTTATGATAAATGAAAAAGTGTTTTTTTTCTTTTGTTCAGGTCTAGTTACAGACATTCGTCAAGATTTATCAAACAACGGTCGTCTTGCCTATATTTTGGTTGCTTGTGGTCTTCACAAGAACATACTTCACAATTCAACCGATTTGTTTGGTCATATCTCTTTGTATGCTGGTGATGAAGATTTATTTCCAAAAGATCAATCAGCTGATCAATATTTGAGTAAGGTAAGATAATACATGATTATTTCTCTTGGTTTTATTCATTTCAAAATTTTGTGAATGAGATATTATAATGAAATATTTGTTCTTCAGGGATATTATTTTTTGAGAGTTTAAAAATACTTTTGAAAACGTTAAAGTATGAAAGTTCTATGATCGATACAATATCTAATCCTAAGCAAATAACACATGAATTGATATTCATTCAGTGTCGAATCCTAGATTGGAGTATCGAAAGTTACAATCCCAGATTGACCTAGGCGGATTTGAGATTGGACAGCTTTAATGTAAGAAGTCTTCAGCTTAATTGAACGTGGTCAGTATTTTAAGGATTATGAGAGATAAGTTTATAAAATTACTTTATTCTTTTTCCATTGATGAACATTTTTTCATCACATCAGGCTATGCACAGAGTTCAAAACAATCATTAGTTTTTCATGCATTAGTAGACAATAATACGAATATTGTCTAACTATTGATTATTTCTCATTAAAACAAGTATGTCTTTTTGGTACGCCATTCAGATAACTTTCATATAAAATTCGATATAGATAGAATTTTGCATATTTAAATTATCGAAAGTAGTGAACTTCGAAAACTGTTTCTGTTCCGTTTAGGATATTGATCGTTGGGCCGATTCAACAGCTCCAAAAGCTCTAGCTGATGTATTTGAGGCACTTATGGGAGCTATCTTTCTTGATTCCGGTAATTGTTTAGACACTGTTTGGCAGGTTGTTGAACCTTTACTTCGAAGATACATTGGTATGTTTATTTCACAACAAAATCGATTCATTCCCACATCTACTTCTATGATTTAGATCAATCTATCATTCATCCTAATTTGAATCCGATAAGATCGTTTTCAGAACACGGTGGGAAAATATTCAAGTATGTTTCAATTTAACAAGAAAACTCTTACAAAATATCATTCAATCGTAGGGAATTTATAGACAAGAATGGCGATAGGCCAATGGCAGTCTGTATTGTTCACATGCCAAATGGGACTCTATTTGAAGGTCGTGGAGTAAATAAGAAAATAGCTGAAGCAAATGCATGTCGAAAAGCGATGAAACAACAGCAGCAGCTCAACGAATAACTATATATCAAAAAGCAGGGGTGAGGATAGTCCGATGAATGCTTTTTCATCTTCACCTACTTCACAAAAATACGAAAAAAAAACTTCGTTCAACCTATATAAATAGCATTCATTGTACCATGCTGTATATGTTTTGTTTTATATTTATGTCGGATCTAATGTTCTGACAATAATTAAACAAGATGGATCACTTGATTTCATTACTTTCAGAAAAATCGATTCTTTTTTTGTTGCAATGAACGAAAGAAAGGAATATGCTATTGACGAAACCTGTCTAATTTGTTATTCAATTAAGTTTGTATAGTTCACGCAAAATCGAGAAGCTTAACAACTACTCAGTGATCGAACTGCGACGATCAAAATCGAACACAAAATCCTCTATCCATTAATACTATGTTTACATCTATTATCATAAGAAAAATTTTGATCAAAAATAGATTTTAGGTTATTTAAAGACAGAACTGATCTGTATCGAAGTCTTTACTCTAATCTGATTGAGAGTTAAATATTATATTAGATAAAACAAGTTTATATGACATTTAAGCAATTATTGAATGACTTGGCACAAAATATTGAAAAATATTTAAAACATAAAAAAAAACATCAGCATATTCCAAGAAGCTGGAAAATCAGATAATACAACACATGAATTTTCGTCTTGGTGATTTAAATACATTCATCTGTTGTTTTACAAATATACAACATTCAAAAGATTATCTTCATTGACTTATCAGTTTATTGAAATCACATTAAGCACGAAATGTAGCGTAACTACAAATATTAAAAGAATTTGAGATAAATCATAAACCAAAAGATGTAATTCGATAGTCTGTGTAAGACATGTTCATTGGCAATTCGATCTGATCACTTTTTCTTATACAAACCATAAAGGTACTAACGAAATATGTGATAATTTTTAATAGTGATTTTTCAAATTTTTTTCAATAACAGTTGCCATTGTATCTACAATGGCATGAGTAATTGAATCAAATGAATTCGATCATCCTAACCCTTGTCCACATATGCTACGATATTTTACATCGTCCGAATTTTTAAGGATACACAGAGGACAGTACAATTTTATTGAATCGAGCCATCAAAAATTGGTTTGAGCATCTTCAACCATAATTCGTAGGCAAATTTGAAAAGTATAATGATTCTATGAAGAAATTCTTGGCTGAGTTTCAATCGTTGCAACCAACAAACTTTTACAAACTAATAAACATCAGTTATACAGCAAATTTATAGGAAGTCATGCAAGATTACTATGGGACTAAAACAACTTGAATATGAACTTTTCACAAAGAAACATTTTTTATCTATATTTGCCTGAGTCAGCAGGTATTGTCGGTTATCTCTAAAGATTTTTTTTCAGTGTATAACTAAGTTTAAGTGTAGTGCAATTAAAACGTTTTTTTAAAACCAAAAATAAAATTACAGATTTTTAATAAGCGAGAAAAAAATGCTGGTACGTTATTTCTCAAATTTAGTTTGATTATTTTAATACTTAACATTGCTTCCAATAATTCAAATATAATTTAATCAAATTTGAATCAATTGCTGGAAAATTTTTTAAAATTTCACATCTCTTAACTGTTCTTATTGTCTCATATTTTTGATAATTCCAATAAACCATTCTTACTAAATGATTGTTCAAAAAATGAAGATAATTTCACAAGTGGATTTGTTGTATTTGTCATTGTTAAAATTCCATTAATACATGTTTTTTGAAGAGATCGTGTCGAAATTTAAACCTGCTTCACAAAGTAAATTCAGATAATTATCATATGTAATAATATGTGGATTAAGAAGATGATAAACACGTTTAGTAGCTAGTATTGACATTTGAAAAGAAGATTTTAAAGCTAAATCAACTAGTGAAGCATTACAAACATCAACAAGTATCCAATTAACATTTTATCCAACATTTGGCATTTTCTTTAATTGTCCAGCACTAGCATAGATTATCATAGAATCTATTTCAGCTGTGTTCCAGACACCATTTTGTGTATCATCACTGATTTGATCGACACGATAAATGTTAACAGATACATCTAAAGAAAATAAAATACAGAATTTGTCCAAATGGATTGTTTGATTTATTTTTATTGTGTTGAAAAAAATTACTTCATAAATTCATTGCTGTCCAACACAACCCTAGTCGAACATCTTGTAAGCAAGATCTTGGTCAAGATACAAGGTACAGAAAAGTGAACAGATCTTGGCAAAATTTAGATACAAGATAATTATATTATCTTGAACCAAGATCTGTGATTAGATCTTGAAATGATGAGACGTTGTTCTAACGATTCTGTTAAAATAGAAATTTCTAATTGTTGTTGTTTAAATAATTCAAAAAGACGTTGTTTTGTATTTGAACCACGTAGAAGACAATGAATACCTTTAACAACCGATTGTGATTGTTTAAGTAGATCTCGAATAATAAAATTTCCTAATGAACCATAAGCACCTGTGATCAGGGCCCGCGCGAAGGATCCAATATTAGGGGGGTGTATGGCGGATTGGGGGGCGGGGTGTCAGGGAGTATTTTCAGAAAAATCTTGCAGAAAAATCATAAAATGCGGACAAAATCTGCTCTTGTGGCCGGAGAAAACTGAAAATTTTTGATTTTTTTGGGGGTGTACACCCCCTCTACACTCCCCCGCTCGCGCGGGGCCTGCCTGTGATAATAAATACATGTTCTCTTTGTTGATTTTATTTTAAAGAGTGAGGAATAATATTATTATTTGTTTTCATTAAATTGATATATTTATCAATAGTTTGTTCAGTTAATTTGTAATGATATGGATCAGATTGTTGTTACTGTTCAGTTTAATTTGAAAGATTTTCAGATTTGAGATATTTAATTAATTCATCCGTCATTTGATCAATTGAAGAATATTCATAAATAAAATTCTTTGATATTTGATAAATATCTTGACAAATAAAATTTCTTAATTCAACAACTTGTAAAGAATTAATACCAAAATCAAAGATTGATCGTGAAGAATTATTTGCTTTTGTCGTATCATATGCATGTACAATTAATTTCAATTTGTCTTCTAAATACGTTTTTATTGTTCTTTTTGAGTAACTCTATTTGTTAACTTATGTTGTTGTTGATTTAAGAATTTATCACACATTTTTTTAATCAATGTTGAATATTCTTCATTAACTTTTCGTCTCATTAAATTACCTTTATGTGTTACAGGCAAAGTTTTGTTCATTGGTAAAATTTCAACAAGTTGTCAAAGTATATGTGAATGAGATGGTGCCTTTTTATTAACTTGTTCAACAAGTTTCCATATACACACTCTGTTATTACACATTTGGTAGCTTTTGACTAATTGTACTCACTTATTTCCTTCGATGTCTCCAAATGTATTTGCTGTCTTCTGTCTTTCATATATACAACATTAGATCATATCATCAAAAGCTCTAGTTGATCTAACTAACTTTTTCGGTATTTCTCAAGTATGGATTGCTTTGTCAATGATAATTTTACTTAATCTCTAAGTTTAAAAAATATTCAAAATAATGTCATAAATGGCAGTCAAGCTATAAGTGGCTTGGCTGTATTCAAAACTGATTCGACTCACCCATCACAGTTTTCTACTATAGCAATACGCGTTTTATAATTTATAGTATGAAAATTAAAGCAACGGATTGAAAATCGTTTGATATTAGTAAGTATAATAATGAATAAAATCACAGTGAATAATACGCGTATAATACTGCTTCGATTATTTTTGTTTTTATTTTTTATTTTTCAGCAAGTATATATAGTAATGCACAATTGTTCTTCTGAAAACGATCTTTTTGTGCGTTTTGGCTTTCCTCTTCTCTTTCTTAGCTTGTATTTATTACTTTTATGTTAAGAAAACAATTCGAAAAAGAAAAGATGGAAATAACATTGCAGAAGAATGTGATAGTATTAAAGTGTAAAAGAACATAACGGAATCCAAATACAAAGAAAAATGTGCCGGGGTCAAAGCGTATTATTTACTTTAACCATTTTATTTGCATCATTTAAAATAGAAATGTCGAAATCAAGTGATTCTCTTCGCATTGGCTCGATTGAGACTCATTATGTGATGAACATGTAAACAAAGAGGAACAACAAGGGAAAGACTGTAAGAAAGATTACATGGTCACAATATAAAACAGCTAAGAAACAATACTATGACAATATCAGATCAATAAAGTTTTGATAGACTATAAATGGCGAAGAGTATCTACTCAATTAATTAGAATTTTCAGAAAGAGTGTTTTTGAGGCAATTCAATTCTTGTGTACGAATGTTCAATTATACTTGTTATATAGAAAATACTTCAAATTTGGTAGTTCGATATTATCATGATACTTCATCAGATAAAACTCTATGAACGATACTACATTGATGCATACAGAACAAGCTTTCAAAATCTCTCATTTTAAATGTTGAAATTCATACTTCATAAGTAAAATACAGAATTGCAGCCCTATGAGCTCCAAAACAGCAACTTTCTTCCAAAAACTAGTGCTCTATATTCAAAAATTCAAAATTTTGTAACTCTTCACTGCTAAACTAACCAATTGTGAAAATTTGCTCTATGAGTATCGATAGAATATCATTTATGTCGTTCATTTATATTTGGAGTTCGGGATTAGGTTTACATGAAAGTTGTTGAAGTTTTTGTTCTTCTCTTCTGTCACACTCACCCTCGAACTAACTAGATTTGAAGATGCGACTATTTTGTACTTAATGAGAAGTAGAGAACAGTGCAGCATCAAATACTAATGAACTCAAAAATAGTCATTATCGATTTTTTTGTGAAAAAAAAATTCGAAACACATATTACCAATCCATTATCATGAGGGGTTCGAATCCTAGTCGAATATAACTGACATTGAATCACGAAATATGACATATTTATGTTTAGCATATAGAAGACAATCTTTGATTGAGATGCTGTTGAACAGGTAGCAAATTTTTGAAAAAATGATTATTTTAAAGTGTTTTGATAAAACTCTGGAATTGTCTGACTAAATATTTATAGATTGATATAAAAAAAAAAGATAGTGTTGATCTTCATCACTGAATAAAGATTACGAATGAAGAAAAAGATTCAAATTAACAATACGAACAAAAACAAAAAATTCAATTAGTTTGATTCTATTGACGAATATTATGTGTCCTGTATTTGAATATTAAAATATTGATCACATTCTTCTAATTCAATTTCTGTCATTGTTTGACCTTCTTCCAAATCCGAAAGTTTAATATGATCAATTCTTTTTACTCTGAATACAGTATAAGGCATAATCAAGATTTCACCTTCATTTGCATATTGAGAGCAATTTTCAATATGTAAAGCAGTGCGTCGATGTTTAATTTTATATACACACATAACCCACAATTTAATAAATGTTCCATCAAATTTGGTGCGTGATGATCTTTTCATCTGTTCTTCTGTGCATTCTTTTTGGAATAAAAATAATTCGGCAAGTTTTCGATCAATCGATGATGATAAAAATGATTTTGTCATCAATGAACAATTAATTTGATACTTTTTCAAATCATTACAATTGATTTGCATAACTCGATAAGAAGAACCAATAAATGCCATTTCATCCAATTTTGGATGATGCCAAAGTAATGCTATTATATATCTTCGTTCATTTTGATATTGAGTAGCACCACATGCTATTTCAGTATTGAGAACTTTATAGAAATCAGTCTCAGCTGTATAAGCTTTTAAAATCCATCGTGGATCTTGTTCTTCAGTGGCTTTTCTAAAAAATCGTTTGATATGGTCAATATCATCGAATTTAGCTAAGCCGTTATTAATATAATTTTTTTCAATTTTTTCGAACATTTTTCCGACAGAGGTAAATCCACTAGTATTGCCATAGAGAGATTTAATAATATGTCTCTCTTCTCCAGCTGTTTCTAAAGCATCATCGTTAATCGATTCCCATTCAATAGCACCTGTATCTGACACAAGTCGATTCGTATTTGGTACTCGAAAGAAAAGCTCTTTAATTTCATCATTTAACGCTTCATCAAATGGTAAATAATTATATTTATTAGATATTGCTCTATCTGCTCCAGCTTTTAATAATAATTTAACGATTTCTTGATGACCATGATAACATGCAGTATGTAAAGCTGTACTACCATTTGGTTCCATCCTATCTATCTCATCAAGTGTTATCGTTTTAAGTAACTCTTTAACTTCTTCAATATTGTTGCCACGACATGCTAAATAAAATTTACTACACTTGTCTGATGGAGCCACTGTTTTCGTTGATATTGTGGTTCCCGTTTCTTCTATTGATAGTGTTGTCACTGGCTCCTCTTCTGTTGTTATTATTATTGCTGTTGTTTCTGATCCTGTCCCTGTTATTATTGACATTGTCTCCGCTTCGATTGTTTTTGCCGCGGTCGCTGCCAATATAGGCATTGTTCCCACTGACGTCATGTCATTTGTTGTTGATGCTGCTTCTAATGATGGCTTTGATATTTGTTTGGTATTGGTAACTGTCGGCAATTTATCCACAGGAAGTTTTTCTGGATGATCCGGACGGGACCGTGAAATGAGAGTTGTATTCCCACGACGAGAATATGCATAATTTTTTAATTTATTAATTATACTTCCCATATTGAGTCAACCAGTAAACAGTTGATATCTTCTAGAGATAACCAAAATGTGACACTTCTAATTGATTAGTACTGGAGTACAGATGGATTTCTCTAATTTAGATACTGAAACAATTTTTTCTTTGAATTGCCCGATTTCAAATTATGCCAGGGGTTTGTTCCTACAATTTCAAATCTTTAGTGAATCGAGAGAGATTTCGAAAATTTTTTAGTGGAAGACAAGCGTTTACAGATAAAAGGATAAAGTTCTAATTAAGTATGTAAATTATCTGATTTTTTTCTTTGCATGACAGATTGAGATGGGTTTGGCTTTGACAATGTTTATTTGTTGCCGGTATAGGAAGATCTTTTTATCGTTAAAGTTTTGAGATCCAGCTCTTTATTTAGAAACAAGCGGACTTACTTATAATTATGCTAAATTAGTTCAATTTACAGTAGTCAATCAATGGCATCAAATCGAAATAATATCAACCTTAATAACTTGAAAATTGTTTGATAGATGAACCTCTTTGCGCACGATACGTCAGTATTAACTCGAGGTTAATCAATCAAGATTTGCTGACTGGCGATGGAAACAGAAGTATTTTCACTAATCATGTTTACGAATAAAGTAAATTTTAGTTAACTATAGCAACGGTAACCTCGCGTACTGATCCCATAGTCTTCAATGTTTTATTCAAAGTAAAAAACTAGTCTCGATCGGTTGCATTTCGACTGAGAAACAGAGGTCCAAAAAAAAGAGAGGGTACTCTTAGGAACGGTTTGCGACGGAGAAATAGTGTAACGTCAATCACATCATCCGACTTCAAACTCCTATAAAAAGATGCTGGGAAAATTTCTGAAACAATGTAAAGCTACATCACTCCTACTTTGTTTTTTTTTCCTAATCACGTGCTAGTTGGACTCATGCTATTTCGATCTATCCCAATTTAAAAAAGTATTTAGTAGCAGCACTAGTGTTTGTTTTGAAGAACCAAGTCAGAAATAAGTCAAACTGATATCCGATTAGAATTCAAAGTAGAGTTCGCACAATTTCGTAGAATCGGTGCACCAGATGAGAGCGCAGTTTGGAGTGGATCAAAGTCATTTGATGATATTTCAGCGTTAAATATTTGAAAGATCATCACTCTCAACTTGAACAAGCGATTCACATGTGTTAATGGAAGAATATTCGAAAGCATTTTCGTTCAATGAAAAATTACTTGAAATCACAGAAAAAGCTCTGCATTCTAATCTTCAATTATATTGAAATAATGTTGAATACGCAAGAAAAAATTTTAAGTTGACCTTCGACAAACGAAGGTCGAGAAAGCCTGTCAATGAGATCCCTAATGGGGTTAAGATCTAGAACTCACATACGATGGATCTCAGAGCTACACAACAGGTTTTAGAGATGCTGATATCTCCTTTCAAATTAAAAATACCTGCAATCGAATGCGTCTATCAATGTATTTAATATGGATATTTTCTGCATTTTCGATTTTTCGAGAAGCTGATATTTCTTTTCAAATAGTCTTTATGTTGCTATCGATCGTTTTCTATTTCAATGGAGTTTTTTGTCAGTCGTTCTTCGTTTTATTTTCA